TCATCATTAAGCTCGGGGCCCTGAGTCTGAACACCGCCCAGTGCAACTGGGTCTTGACTTCCTGACAGGCCGCTCCCAGGTGGTGAAGGTAGGAAACAACACCTCCACTTCGCTGATCCTCAACACAGGGGCCCTACAAGGGTGTGTGCTCAGCCTCCTCCAATATTCCCTGTTCACCCATGACTGCGTGGCCACACACACCTCCAACTCAGTCATCAAGTTTGCAGACAACACAACAGTAGTAGGTCTGATTACCAACAATGACGAGACAGCCTACAGGGAAGAGGTCAGAGACCTGGGCGTGTGGTGCCAGGAAAATAACTTCTCCCTCAACGTGATCAAGACAAAGTAGATGATTGTGGACTATAGGAAAAAGAAGACGACCGAGCACGCCCCCATTCTCATCAACGGGGCTGTAGTGGAGCAGGTTGAGAGCTTCAAGTTCCTTGGTGTCCACATCACCAACAAACTGACATGGTTCAAGCACACCAAGACAGTCGTGAAGAGGGCACGACAAAACCTATTCCCCCTAAGGAGACTGAAAAAATTTGGCATGGGTCCTCAGATCCTCAAAAGGTTCTACAGCTGCACCATCGAGAGCATCCTGACTGGTTGCATCACTGCCTGGAATGACAACTGCTCGGCCTCCGACCACAAGGCGCTACAGAGGGTAGTGGGTACAGCCCAGTACATCACTGGGGTCAAGCTTCCTGCCATCCAGGACCTCTATACCTGGCGGTGTCAGAGGAAGGCCCTAAAAATTATCAAAGACTCCAGCCACCCTAGTCATAGACTGTTCTCTCTGCTACCACACGGCAAGCTGTCCAAGAGGCTTCTAAACAGCTTCTACCCCCAACATCTAATCAAATGGCTACCCAGACAATTTGCATTGCCCCACCCCCTCTCATTTACACTGCTGCTACTCTCTGTTTATTATCTATGCATAGTCACTTTAATAACTCTACCTACATGTACATATTTTTTAAAAAATTTAAAAACAATTTTTAGTCATTTAGCAGACGCTCTTATCCAGAGCGACTTACAGTTAGTGAGTGCATACATTTTTTTTTTTTTTTCATACTGGCCCCCGTGGGAATCGAACCCAAACCCTGGCATTGCAAGCGCCATGCTCTACCAACTGAGCTACATGGGACATATTACCTCAATTACCTCGGCTAACCGTTGCACCCGCACATTAACTCGGTACTGGTACCGCCAGTATATAGCCTCGCTATTGTTATTTTACTGCTGCTCTTTAATTATTATTATTATTTATTTGTTTAGGTATTCTTTCTTAAGACTGCATTGTTGGTTAAGGGCTTGTAAGTAAGCATTTCACTGTAAGGTCTACACCTGTTGTATTCGGCGCATGTGACAAATACAATTTGATTTGATTTGAAAGCCACAGGTCATAGCTGGGGGGGGGGGGGGGGGGGGAACACTACTACATTAATAAAATATTGCCCTCTTGATAGATTGATGACTAAAACCATAGTGAAACAGTGCAAAATGGCTGTCATCTCAACAGTTTTAAATGTCAATGAGAAAACAGAAAAGTGTCATAATGTATTTTTTTCACAAACATCGTTTCTGAATTTCAAAGTAATCCAATAAGTAATCATCTAGTTTTTCAAAAGTATCTGTAATCTGATTACAATATTTTTGCTGGTAACATAACTGATTACAGTTACAGTTTTTTTGTAATCAGATTACATGTGACTTATTACGTGTAATCAGTTACTCCCCAACCCTGTGTGTGTGTGTGTGTGTGCATGTGTGTGTGTGTGTGTGTAGACTACACAAAGTAATTCAGTGTCAGCTTCAATAGGTTTCCAGTCTAATGTATTTAGGAGTGTGTTAAGTGGGATTCCCATCATGACCTCTTTCATGTGGCAGGACTCTGTCAGAAGAGCTTGACATTCAGTCTGCTCTATGGGTTGGGTTAGTTCAGTAGTGTGACACGCTATGCTACTGTAAACACTTACAGATGCTGGATGGTGATTCACTATAGAGACCAATACATATATACTCTGCCCTCTCTTCCTCTGTTACTCTGTACTGCCTATATATAAATGGAGAGAAGGAAGAGAAGGCCATTAGGAATATTGGGCCATCTTGCTTCAGAGCAATGATGTTAACAAGATTAGTTGAGTCACCTTTCCTCACTGAGCATGTTATTTAGTTACATTTACATTTACGTCATTTAGCAGACACTCTTATCCAGAGCGACTTACAAATAGATAGCCCCATTGATCTGTGACATGATGAGGTCCTTGTAGTGAAGTGAGGGGAAACAAGGCAGGCTGAAGAGTAATGTGTCTCTCCACACTCTGTGACCCTCAGAGGCCTCACTGACTAAAGGACCTTTGTGTTTGTCTTAATGAGGACACACTGTGGGCCAGCTCAGAGTCAGACCACACTCAGTGTGTGTATATGTGTGTATTTCGCAACTCAGTGTGTGTGTGTGTGTGTACAGTGTACATTTGTATATGAATATGTATATAGTGTAACATTTGTGTGTGTCTGTGTGTAGGTTGTGAAGATGTGGAGCTGGGTTTTCCCTGTGGCTGTCCTGCTGTCCTCAGTGCACCAGGCTGAAGCACAAGGTAAACAATGAACCCTCTGCATACAGTAGAACAGCTACATTGCCTTCAGAAAGTTTTCACGCCCTTTGACTTTTTCCACATTTTGTTGTGTTACAGCTTAAATTTAGATTTTGTGTCACTGGTCTACATACAATACCCCATAATGTCAAAGTGGAATTATGTTTTCAAAAATGTTTATAAATTAATAAAAAATGAAAAGCTGAAATTAGTCAATAAATATTCAACCTCTTTGTTATGGCAAGCCTAAATAAGGTCAGGAGTAAAAATGTGCTTAACAAGTCACATAATAAGTTGCATGGACTCACTCTGTGTACAATAATAGTGTTTAGAATTATTTATGAATGACTACGTCATTTCTGTACCCCACACATACAATTATCTGTAAGGTCCCTCAGTCGAGCAGTGAATTTTAAACACATATTCAACCACAAAGATCAGGGAGGTTTTCCAATGCCTCACAAAGAAGGGCACCTATTGGTAGATGGGTAAAAATAAAAAAAGCAGACATTGAATAACCCTTTGAGCATGGTGAAGTTATTAATTACACTTTGGATGGTGTATCAATACACCCAGTCACTACAAAGAGACAGGCGTCATTCGTAACTCAGTTGCCAAAAAGAAGGAAGCCTGTACAGAATACAAATACTCCAAAACATGCATCCTGTTTGCAATAAGGCACTAAAGTAAAACTGCAAAAAATGTGGCAAAGAAATTAACTTTATGTCCTAAATACAAATCCAACACAACACATCACTGAGTACCACTCTTCATATTTTCAAGCATGGTGGTGGCTGCATCATGTTATGGGTATGCTTGTCATCGGCAAGGACTAGGGAATCTTTTAGGATAAAAATAAACAGAATCCTAGAGGAAAACCTGGTTCAGTCTGCTTTCCAACAGACACTGGGAGACAAATTCACCTTTCAGCCAAATATACACTGGAGTTACTTACCAAAACAACATTGAATGTTCCTGAGTGGCCTAGTTACAGTTTTGACTTAAATAGGCTTGAACATCTATGGCAAGACTTGAACATGGCTGTCTAGCAATGCTCAACAACCAACTTGACAGAGCTTGAAAAAATTTTTAAAATAAGGATTTGCAAATATTGTACTATTCAGTTGTGCAAAGCTCTTAGAGACTTACCCAGAAAGACTCACAGCTGTAATTGCTGCCAAATGTGATTCTAACATGTATTGACTCAGGGGTGTGAATACTTTTTTAAAGAAGATATGTCTGTCTTTCATTTTCAATACATTGGCAAACATTTCTAACATGTTTTCACTTTTCCATTATGGGGTGTTGTGTGTAGATGGGTGATGTTTTTATTTATTTAATCAATTTTGAATTCAGGCTGTAACACAACAAAATGTGAATAAGTCAAGGGGTATGAATACTTTCTGAACACACTGTATCTATTCTAAGCCACATTATACACTTGTTTATTAGGTACACCACCCCATTCACAAAAATTGTTCGCTCCTACAGACAGTGAGCCACGTGGCCGTGGCCTGCTATATAAAGCAGGGATCAAGGCATTCGGTTACTGTTCGATTGAACATTAGAATGGGCAAAACAAGTGACCTAAGTGACTTTGAGCTTGGTATGATCGTCGGTGCCAGACGCACCGGTTCCAGTATCTCAGAAACGTCTGGCCTCCTGGGCTTTTCATGCACGACAGTGTCTAGGGTTTACTGAGAATGGTGTGACAAACAAAAAACATCCAGTTAGCGGCAGTCCTGTGGGCGAAAACAGCTCATTAATGAGAGGTCGAAGGAGAATGTCAAGAATCGTGCAAGCTAACAAGCGGGCCACAAACAGGCAAATAACGGTGCAGTACAACAGTGGTGTGCAGAACTGCATCTCAGAAAGCACAACTCGTCGGTCCTTGTCACGGATGGGCAATTGCAGCAGACGACTACACCGGGTCCACTTCTGTCAGCTAAAAACAAGAAGCGGCTCCAGTGGACCCGCGCTCACCAACACTGGACAATTGAGGAGTGGAAAAACATTGCCTTGTCTGACAAATCCCGGTTCCTGTTGGGCCATACTGATGGCAGTGTCAGGATTTGTCGTAAGCAGCATGAGTCCATGGCCCTATCCTGCCTGGTGTCAATGGTACAGGCTGGTGGCAGTGGTGTAATGGTGTGGGGAATGTTTTCCTGGCACACGTTAGTTCCCTTGGTACCAATTGAGCAACGTTTCCATGCCCTGAAGAATTCAGGCTGTTCTGGAGACAAAGGGAGGTCTGACCCGGTACTAGATAGGTGTACCGAATAAATTGGCCACTGAGTGTATGTCTGCACTAACTCTCTCTACTTGCTTCATCATGGTAGCCTGCCCTACTGTAGCCCACATTTCTAACCCTCAGAGCTAAGATAAAGAGACTCACTAATGTACCTCTCTTTAGGCAGGTGTAATAATGTTGGAGCAGCAGACATAGTGTTCCTGATAGATGGCTCATCAAGTATCGGCAGGGCCAACTTCCTGCAAGTCAAGGGCTTCATGGCTGGCATCGTCAAGCCCTTCGCCAGCTCTGTGGGCCAATCAGGGATCCGCTTCGGGGCCGTGCAGTACAGCGACACCTCTAGGTCAGACACTGAGAGTCTTGTCTGTAATGTTTGCTTCTACTAACAATTATCTGTTGGTACAATACATTAACATTAACACTTGACTCTTCTTTCTTGTCTGTTACCAATAGTTTTTTACCCCCTTAATAATGGTGAATGGTTTTCCCCAGGTGATGCAGTAGTTTATTGTTGTGTGTTTTGTCCCATTTAGGGTGGAGTTCACCTTCACCACCTACCTGAATGGCACTGAGCTGGTCAGCGCTGTGGAGAACCTCAACTACAAGGGGGGAAACACTCGCACCGGTGCCGGCCTCAAATTTGTCGCTGACAACTTTTTCAACCCCACCTCCACCCGGAACGTCTCAAAGGTCTGACAGAGGGATAGAATAGATTGAAAGAGACTATATTTTGTCCCGTGACAGACCATGACTTGACATATTCCTCTCTCTCTCTTTCTCTCTCTCTCTCTCTCTCTCTCTCTCTCTCTCTCTCTCTCTCTCTCTCTCTCTCTCTCTCTCTCTTTCTCTCATGTAGGTCTGTATACTGATCACAGATGGAAAGTCTCAAGACAATGTAAGGGACCCAGCTCAGAAGCTACGGAGTCTGGGAGTGGAGATGTTTGCAGTGGGTAGGTTTGTGAGATCAAATCAAATCAACGTTTATTTGTCATGTGCACAGAATAAATGCTTACTTGCAAGCACTCAAGTACAAATATCAAAAGTCAAAGTTGTAAAAATATGAAATGTGCTATGTAAATTATGACTGTTATTTACAAGTAGTGAAGTGAATAGTGACTTGGTTGAGCAGCTTAAATAAATAGTAATAAATAGTAACAGCAATGATGACCATAAGTGTGTGCGTGTGTGTGAGTTGTGAGTGTGTGTGTGTGTATGGGTTGGGTGTATTGAGAGTCAGTGCAAGTAGTCTCGTAAGGTGCAGGTGAATAGCAAGCAGGTCTGTGCAGGTAGACAAATAGGGTTAGCTGTTCAGCAGTCTTATGGCTTGGAGGTAGAAGCTGTCTCGGAACCTGTTGGTCGAGACCTGATGCTCCAATACCGTCTGACTTGCCACATTGACTCATTAATCCCGACCACAAGCCTCAGGCGGTATATCTTGATAGTGTGTGTGTGTACGGTATTTGACTGGTTGTTTTTGTCTCTGTCAGGTATAAAGAGTGCAGACCAGACTGAGTTGGCTCTGATAGCCACTCCTCCTCAGAGAGACTACACATTCTTTGTGGGGGACTTTAAGCTGCTCAACACACTGCTCTCCCTGGTGGGCCCGCGTGTGTGTTCCAGCTCAGGTGGAGTCTACGCTAGCGATGGTAAACACACACTGCCATACATTACACTGGAACAGACTCAGCTCAGTACAATACATTACTGTCTATTACACAATAAAAATCACCTCTCATTGTCTTCCCTCTCCTCCACACACCATCTCTTTCTCTTTCTCTTTCTCTCTTTTTCTGGCAGAGGCCTTTTCCGGTCCCTCTAACCTCCAGTTCTCAAGCCAGACCTCTGATTCGCTCAGGATCCGGTGGACTCCCGCAGGGGGGCCTGTGAGTGGCTATGTGGTGCAGTACACACCCCTTTCTGGCCTGGGCCAGCCAATCACAGCGGAGCTGCATCAGGTGGGCACTGCTGGTTGGGTGGGGGGGTGTGGTGTTCATTCCTGACTCAGGGGATGGGCAGCAGGCAGCAGTTCATACTGTAAATGTGACCCAGATTCTAATTGCTCATTGTAGTTTTGGGAGCCTGCTACATGGCAGACAGACAGAGAGACAGAGAGGGATTTGGTTGAGTAGGAACATGTTTTAATGGGTGGATCTAGAGTTTGATTGAGTTTCTGTGTCTGTGCAGATTAAACGTTGGCTGGAAAACAGTGAAATTCCCGGTCTGTGACTGTGTGTTGGTAATCATGACTCATGACCATAATAAAGAATGGCATAGATTAGTCTGTGAACATTCACCCCAGTCAAAGGCTTTGACAAAACCTGTTGCTATGCAATAACATTGAATACCTATTTACAGCAGGAGCTTTGAATGTTGGCTTACATTTGTCTGAGGTGCACAAGTGCAATTCTCGAGTTCCACAATCATGCTGGTCTTTTTTATTTATATTTTTTATGGGGGGTAGATCAGCTTAATATTGCAGAAAGATTGTAACTTCCATCAATGTAATTGTCTGCATCACTTCCAATCCCCCATGTTATTTATATATATATATACACATATATTCACATATACAGTGGGGAGAACAAGTATTTGATACACTGCCGATTTTGCAGGTTTTCCTACTTACAAAGCATGTAGAGGTCTGTAATTTTTATCATAGGTACACTTCAACTGTGAGAGACGGAATCTAAAACAAAAATCCAGAAAATCACATTATATGATTTTAAAGTAATTAATAAGCATTTTATTGCATGACATAAGTATTTGATCACCTACCAACCAGTAAGAATTCCGGCTCTCACAGACCTGTTAGTTTTTCTTTATGTAGCCCTCCTGTTCTTCACTCATTACCTGTATTAACTGCACCTGTTTGAACTCGTTACCTGTATAAAAGACACCTGTCCACACACTCAATCAAACAGACTCCAACCTCTCCACAATGGCCAAGACAAGAGAGCTGTGTAAGGACATCAGGGATAAAATTGTAGACCTGCACAAGGCTGGGATGGGCTACAGGACAATAGGCAAGCAGCTGGTGAGAAGGCAACAACTGTTGGCGTAATTATTAGAAAATGGAAGAAGTTCAAGATGACAGTCAATCACCCTCGGTCTGGGGCTCCATGCAAGATCTCACCTCGTGGGGCATCAATGATCATGAGGAAGGTGAGGGATCAGCCCAGAACTACACGGCAGGACCTGGTCAATGACCTGAAGAGAGCTGGGACCACAGTCTCAAAGAAAACCATTAGTAACACACTACGCCGTCATGGATTAAAATCCTGCAGCGCACGCAAGGTCCCCCTGCTCAAGCCAGCGCATGTTCAGGCCCGTCTGAAGTTTGCCAATGACCATCTGGATGATCCAGAGGAGGAATGGGAGAAGGCCATGTGGTCTGATGAGCCAAAAATAGAGCTTTTTGGTCTAAACTCCACTCGTCGTATTTGGAGGAAGAAGAAGGATGAGTACAACCCCAAGAACACCATCCCAACCGTGAAGCATGGAGGTGGAAACATCATTCTTTGGGGATGCTTTTCTGCAAAGGGGACAGGACGACTGCACCATATTGAGGGGAGGATGGATGGGGCCATGTATCGCGAGATCTTGGCCAACAACCTCCTTCCCTCAGTAAAAGCATTGAAGATGGGCCGTGGCTGGGTCTTCCAGCATGACAACGACCCGAAACACACAGCCAGGGCAACTAAGGAGTGGCTCCGTAAGAAGCATCTCAAGGTCCTGGAGTGGCCTAGCCAGTCTCCAGACCTGAACCCAATAGAAAATCTTTGGAGGGAGCTGGAAGTCCGTATTGCCCAGCGACAGCCCCGAAACCTGAAGGATCTGGAGAAGGTCTGTATGGAGGAGTGGGCCAAAATCCCTGCTGCAGTGTGTGCAAACCTGGTCAAGACCTACAGGAAACATATGATCTCTGTAATTGCAAACAATGGTTTCTGTTCCAAATATGAAGCTCTGCTTTTCTGATGTATCAAATACTTATGTCATGCAATAAAATGCAAATTCATTACTTAAAAATCATACAATGTGATTTTCTGGATTTTTGTTTTAGATTCCGTCTCTCACAGTTGAAGTGTACCTATGATAAAAATTACAGACCTCTACATGCTTTGTAAGTAGGAAAACCAGCAAAATCGGCAGTGTATCAAATACTTGTTCTCCCCACTGTATACACACATACACACATACATACATACATACATACATACACATACATATCCTTTAAAAAATATATATATTCCCCTTTATTACTTTCCAACCCCGCCACCCTTTCCCTACTTGGAGTAAACTAGTGAACAACAATGCTTAGGCCTCTACTTCCAGCTTATACTTACTATCTACATTTTATGGACACTGTCAATTTTACAATAATTATATTTTGTTTGTTTTTTCTCCTGAACTTCTTCAACTCTCAACCTCTCCGATCATTTTCATGATGTCCATCCGGTTTGCTTCTATATGCCATATCTTTCTAACTGTGCTCTTTCACAAAAGCTCCCAACCTACAACCTATATACTTGTTATGGACACAGTATGCTTACATTATTAGTTATCTTGTTATTATTTGTTGTTAGTTGTTATTAGTCCCATCCTTCAATTCCATTCAACACCTCCCATCTATCTCTTAACACCATCCATATAGGATTTCTATTTGCCATAAGTTCTGAACCTTTCTATTCTCATTGTTTCTACAGATTGTGAATTGAAAATAAACATTTTTGTTAAATGTATTATTATATTATTGATCAATTGACTATGACTTATCAGATCACCCAGTAATGCTATCCGTAAGGTTAGCTCCAGGTAAATATTGCAATCCTTTAGCCATTCCTGGAACTGTGTCCAAAAACAAGCTACAAAAGGACAGTACCAAAACAAATGATCTAGTGATTCTGTCTCTTCGCAGCAAAATCTGCAGAGCTGGGAAGATTGTATCCCCTATATAAATAACATTCTATTGGTAGCAAGAATTTTATATAATAATTTAAATTGAAAGATTCTAAGTTTTGAATCCGGCGTCGTTTTGCGTATCAGCTCATAAACACTATGCCATGGGATCGGTATGTCAAAAATCTCTTCCCAACTATTTTGCAATCTATATGGGATGGCTGTCAATCCTTTGGTCCTTAAATGAAACTGATATACTTTTTTATTTATCACAGTTTTCCTTAACCAATTTTGTTATTTAATGCAAGGCCGACAGACAAGTTCCTTACTTTCTCCCCCTTCCACTTTCCTCTTCCATTTTTGCGGTAAGGCTGCAATTATTTTGTTGTATTTTGGGTAGAGCAGACATTTCCATATGTTTTTTTTAGCTGCATAACTCCACCAGTCCTACCGATGATATCATTTCCGAAGATTATACCTTTTTTAAACATTTTGTCAAAAAAAACGTTTTTTTTTGTCAATTAGTTTAAATTTGAGTTTAACCACAATATTTGTTGCATTATTTGTTCTGTAGTTTCTGGAGGATTAAATTGAAATTGCAACCAACTTTCTATGGCTTGTTTTAGAAATAGTGATATTTGGGAGATGATTTCCTTTTCAAATAACTGAAAGTGAGTGGTTGTAATCTGAATAAAAGGAAAAAGGCCATTCTTGAACATTGGGTGAGACAATCTTACCAGTTCGGATTTAAGTATAACTTTTGTATGACTGAAGCTTTTAGTGATAGGTCTAATGCTTTAATATTTAATAATTTCTGTCCTCCGAATTCATATTCAATATATAAATAGGCCCGTTTAATTTTGACTGGCTTGCCGTTCCAAATCAATTGGAATATTTTTTTCTCATATAATTTAAAAAACTTTTCGCTAGGCGTAGGCAAGACCATAAGCAAATGGGTAAACTGGGATAATACTAAAGAGTTAATAAGGGTGATTTTTCCACAAATTGACAGGTATGTACCTTTCCATGGTAGCACGATCTTATCTATTTTTGCTAACTTTCTATTAAAATTGATTGAAGTGAGATCATTTATTTCCTTTGGGATATGTATTCCGAGTATATCCACATCACCATCAGACCATTTTATTGGTAAACTACATGAGAATGTAGAAATTGTATTTTTTAGTGATCCAATACGTAATATAGTACATTTGTCATAATTTGGTTGTAATCCAGAGAGGTTAGAAAATGTATCTAGATATATATATCCTCTATGAGGCTGTGGAGGGATTGTAGTTGTGGATTTAAAAGAAAATAATCATCAGCGTACAATGACACCTTTGTTTTTAAGCCCTGGATTTCTAATCCCCTGATATTATTGTTGAATCTGATTTTAATAGCTAACATCTCGCTGGCCACAATAAATAGATAAGCCGATAGTGGACAAACTTGTTTTACTCCTCTTGACAGTTTAAAACTTTCGGAGAAATAGCCATTATTTACTATTTTACACCTAGGGTTACTATACATGATTTTGACCCATTTTATAAGAGATTTGCTCCAGGCATTTATATATAAACCCCAGTCGTACTTTATCAAATGCCTTTTCGAAGTCTGCTATGAATAGCAGGCCTGGTTTCCCAGATTTTCCATAGTGTTCTATTGTTTCCAATACTTGCCTTATATTATCTCCAATGTATCTTCCATGTAAAAAACCTGTCTGATTAGAATGAATAATATCCTCGACATGCTGGTCTTTGTGATACGGTTTGTATAGAGAGTGCACACACACCTAGTTTCTCAGGTATAAACCAGTATCTGGTCAAAAACCAGCTGACACTGCAGCCCTTTTACGAACCAGAACTATGCACCCCTGTCTCCTGTACTTACCCCTCTCTCCCCCCTGTCTACCCCTGCAGGAGACAGTGTCTGCAGGTCAGAGGAGCTTTGTGGCCAAAGAGCTGAAGTCAGGGACAGACTACCTGGTGACGATCATCACCCAATACCCCAACAGTGTGGGAGAGCCTGTGTTTGCCAAGGCACGAACCAGTGAGTACACAGAGCGGGTCGGACAGAGGGAGAATGGGAGGGAGGGGGTAGGAGAGATGAGATGAGAAGATTAGATAATTAGAAACCAAGGCACGAATAAGTGAGTACACAGAGAGAGATGGAGGAAGAGGAGGGGGGATGAAAGTAGGGAGGAGAGAAGGAGAGAGTCATTTCAATAAAGTTAAATTACATTTGACAGACGAGTGTGGATGGGGAAGATATTTGGTATTTTATTAGGATCCTCATTAGCTGTTGCAAAAGCAGCAGCTACTCTTCCTGGGGTCCACACAAAACATGAAACATGACATAATACAGAACATTAATAGACAAGAACAGCTCAAGGACAGAACTACATAAAACATTTTTTTAAAGGCACACGTAGCCTACATATCAATACATACACACAAACTATCTAGATCAAATAGGGGAGAGGCGTTGTGCTGTGAGGTGTTGCTTTATCTGTTTTTTTAAACAAGGTTTGCTGTTTATTTGAGCAATATGAGATGGAGTTCCATGCAATAATGGCTCTATATAATACTGTACGCTTTCTTGAATTTGTTCTGGATTTGGGGACTGTGAAAAGACCCCTGGTGACATGTCTGGTGGGGTAAGTGTGTGTGTCAGAGCTGTGTGTAAGTTGACTGTGCAAACAATTTGGGATTTTCAACACAATGTTTCTTATAAAAAGAAGTGATGCAGTCAGTCTCTCCTCAACTCTTAGCCAAGAGAGACTGGCATGCATAGTATTTATATCATCCCTCTGATTACAATGAAGAGCAAGACGTGCCGCTCTGTTCTGGGCCAGCTGCAGCTTAACTAGGTCTTTCCTTTCAGCACTCGACCACACGACTGGACAATAATCAAGATAAGAAAAAACTAGCCTTGCAGAACTTGCTTTTTGGAGTGTGATGTCAAAAAAGCAGAGCATATTTTTATTAGGGACAGATCTCTCCCCATCTTTACAACCATTGAATCTATATGTTTTGACCATGACAGTTTACAATCTAAGGTAACGCCAAGTAATTTAGTCTCCTTAAACACCATTTTTTCCAACAGTTTGCTATGAGCTGGCAGCAAGCCTGTTAGAACCAGTGAAGGCCGCTTTACCACTTTTGGGATAGCGGAATTACTTTGGCTTACCTCCAGGCCTGAGGACAAATACTTTCCTCTAGGCTCAGATTAAAGATATGACAGATAGGAGCGGCTATAGAGTCAGCTACCATCCTCAGTAGCTTTCCATCTTTCCAAGTTGTCAATGCCAGGAGGTTTGTCATTATTGATCGATAACAATAATTTTTCCACCTCTCCCACGCTAACTTTACAAAATTCAACTTGCAATTTTTTAAATGCATGAATATGATGGCTCACTGTTCGTTGTTGGTTCGTTGTTGTTCTGTTTGACCTAATTTCTACCAGCATGTCACATGTGCAACCAGAGGGAAAAAAATATTTTACTCCAAACATAGAGACACGTACAAAGCTCTCCCTCGATCCTCCATTTGGCAAGTCTGACCATAATTCTATCCTCCTGATTCCTGCTTACAAGCAAAAACTCAAGCAGGAAGTACCAGTGACTCTCTCAATACGGAAGTGGTCTGATGACGTGGAGGCTAAGCTACAGGACTGTTTTGCTAGCAAAGACTGGAATATGTTCCGGGATTCATCCGATAGCATTGAAGAGTACAGTCGTGGTGAAAAGTTTTGAGAAGGACACAAATACTAATTTTCACAAAGTCTGCTGCCTCAGTTTTGATGATGGCAGTTTGCATATACTCCAGAATGTCATGAAGAGTGATCAGATGAATTGCAAATAATTGCAAAGTCCCTCTTTGCCATGAAAATGAACTTAATCCCCCCAAAATATTTCCACTGCATTTCAGCCCTGCCACAAAAGGACCAGCTGCCATCATGTCAGTGATTCTCTCGTTAACACAGGCGAGAGTGTTGACGAGGACAAGGCTGGAGATCAATCTGTCATGCTGATTGAGTTAGAATAACAGACTGGAAGCTTTAAAAGGAGGGTGGTGCTTGAAATCATTGTTATTCCTCTGTTAATGTCACGATCGTCGTAAGAACCGGACCAAGGCGCAGCGTGATAGGCATACATCTTTTAATGAGTACTTTAACACATGAACAAAACAACAAAACGATACGTGAAGTCTAAAGGTTCACCAACACAAACCTATACAGATCAAGATCCCAGAAATAACTGTGCAAAACAGGCTGCCTAAGTATGGTTCCCAATCAGAGACAACGAGCAACAGCTGCCTCTGATCGGGAACCACCCTGGCCAACATAGATCTAAACAATCTAGAATAAACACATAGAAACTACAACATAGAAACTAACACCCTGGCTCAACATAAGAGTCCCCAGAGCCAGGGCGTGACAGTTAACCATGGTTACCTGCAAGGAAACATGTGCCGTCATCATTGCTTTGCACAAAAAGGGCATCACAGGCAAGGATATTGCTGCTAGTAAGATTGCACCTAAATCAACCATTTATCGGATCATCAAGAACTTCAAGGAGAGAGGTTCAACTGTTGTGAAGAAGGCTTCAGGGCCAAGAAAGTCCAGCAAGCGCCAGGACTGTCTCACCACCAGTGCAGAGCTTGCTCAGGAATGGCAGCAGGCAGGTGTGAGTGCATCTGCACGCACAGTGAGTTGAAGACTTTTGGAGGATGGCCTGGTGTCAAGAAGGGCAGCAAAGAAGACACTTCTCTCCAGGAAAAACCTCAGGGACAGACTGATATTCTGCAAAAGGAACAGTGATTGGACTGCTGAGGACTGGGGTAAAGTCATTTTCTCTGATGAATCCCCTTTCCGATTGTTTGGGGCATCCGGAAAACACCTTGTCCGGAGAAGACAAGGTGAGCGCTACCATCAGTCCTGTGTCATGCCAACAGTAAAGCATCCTGAGACCATTCATGTGTGGGGCTGCTTCTCAGCCAAGGGAGTGGGCTCACTCACAATTTTGCCTAAGAACACAGCCATGAATAAAGAATGGTACCAACACATCCTCAGAGAGCAACTTCTCCCAACCATCCAAGAACAGTTTGGTGATGACCAATGCCTTTTCCAGCATGATGGAGCACCTTGCCATAAGGCAAAAGTGAAAACTAAGTGGCTCGGGGAACAAAACATTGACATTTTGGGTCCATGGCCAGGAAACTCCCCAGACCTTAATCCCATTGAGAACTTGTAGTCGATCCTCAAGAGGCGAGTGGACAAACAAAAACCAACTAATTCTGACAAACTCCAAATATTGATTATGCAAGAATGGGCTGCCATCAGTCAGGATGTTGCCCAGAAGTTATTTGACAGCATGCCAGGGCGGATTGCAGAGGTCTTGAAAAAGAAGGGTCAACACTGCAAATATTGACTCTTTGCATAAACTTAATGTAATTGTCAATAAAAGCCTTTGACACTTATGGAATGCTTGTAATTATACTCCAGTATACCATAGTAACATCTGAAACAAATATCTCATAACACTGAAGCAGCGAACTTTGTGAAGACCAATACTTAAGTCATTCTCAAAACTTTTGACCACGACTGTATACCACATCAGTCATCGGCTTCATCAATAATTGCACTGACAACGTCGTCCCCACAGTGACTGTACGTACATATCCCAACCAGAAGCCATGATTAGAGGGAACATCTGCACTGAGCTAAAGGCTAGAGCTGCCGCTTTCAAGGAGCGGGACACTAATCTGGACGTTTATAAGAAATCCCGCTATGCCCTCCGACGAACCATCAAACAGGCAAAGCGTCAATACAGGACTAATATTGAATCCTACTACACCGGCTCTGACGCTCGTTGGATGTGGTAGGACTTGCAAACTATTACGGATTACAAAGGGAAACCCAGCCGCGAGCTGCCCAGTGATGCGAGCCTACCTGACGAGCTAAATGCCTTCTATGCTCGCTTTGAGGCAAGCAACACTGAAGCATGCATGAGAGAACGAGCTGTTCTGGACGACTATTTGATCACGCTCTCCATAGCTGATGTGAGTAAGACCTTTAAACGGCCAGACGGATTATCAGGACGCATACTCAGAGCATGCACTGACCAACTGCCAAGTGTCTTCACTGACATTTTAAACCTCTCCCTGACGGAGTCTGTAATACCTACTTGTGTCAAGCAGACCAACCTAGTCCCTGTACCCAAGAACGCCAAGGTAACCTGCCTAAATGACTACCACCCCATAGCACTCACGTCGGTAGCCATGAAGTGCTTTGAAAGGCTGGTCATGGCTCACATCAACACAATCATCCCAGAAACCCTAGACCCACTACAATTTGCATACCGGCCCAACAGATCCACAGAGGACGCAATCTCTATTGCACTCCACACTGCCCTTTCCCACCTGGACAAAAGGAACACCTACATGAGAACGCTGTTTGTTGACTACAGCTCAGCGTTCAACACCATAGTGCCCTCAAAGCTTATCACTAAGGTAAGGACTCTGGGAAGGAACACCTCCCTCTGCAACTGGATCCTGGACTTCCTGATGGGCCGCCCCCAGGTGGTAAGGGTAGGTAACAACACATCTGCCACACTGATCCTCAGCACGGGGGCCCCTCAGGGGTGCGTGCTCAGTCCCCTCCTGTACTCCCTGTTCACTCATGACTGCATTGCCAGGCACGACTCCAATACCATCATTAAGTTTGCCGATGACACAACGGTGGTAGGCCTGATCACCGACAACGATGAGACAGTCTATAGGGAGGAGGTCAGAGACCTGGCAGTGTGGTGCCAGGACAACAACCTCTCCCTCAACGTCAGCAAGACAAAAGAGCTGATCGTGGACTACAGGAAAAGGAGGGCCAAGAACGCCCCCATTCACATAGACGGGGCTGTAGTGGAGCGGGTCGAGAGCTTCAAATTCCTTGGTGTCCACATCACTAACAAACTATCATGGTCCAAACACACCAAGACAGTCGTGAAGAGGTCATGACAATGCCTATTCCCCCTCAGGAGACTGAAAAAAATTGGCATGGGTCCTCAGATCATCAAAAAGTTTTACAGCTGCACCATCGAGAGCCTCCTGACTGGTTGCATCACCGCTTGGTATGGCAACTGCTCGGCATCCGACTACAAGGCGCTACATAGGGTAGTGCGTACCTCCCAGTACATCAATGGGGCCAAGCTTCCTGCCATCCAGGACCTCTATACTAGGCGGTGTCAGAGGAAAGCCCTAAAAATGGTCAAAGACTTCATCCACCCTAGTCATAGACTGTTGTCTCTGCTACCACACGGCAAGCGCCAAGTCCAAAAGGCTCCTTAACAGCTTCTACCCTCAAGCCATAAAACTGGTGAACAGTTAATCAAATGGCTACCCGGACCATTTGCATTGACCCACCATTTTTTAACGCTGCTGCTACTCGCTGTTTATTATCTATGCATAGTCACTTTACCCCTATGTACATATTACCTCAATTACCTCAACTAACCTGCACCCCCGCACATTGAATCGGTACCGGTACCCCATGTATATAGCCTCGTTATTATTATTTTTATTTTTATTTTTCTTTCTTGCTTAAGTTTTTTTCTTTCTTTAAAAATATTTTCTTACTTACTTTTTTAAAAATTCAGCATTGTTGGTTAAGGGCTTGTAAGTAAGCATTTCACGGTAAGATCTACACCTGTTGTATTCGGCACAAGTGTCAAATAAAATTGGATTTTATTTTATTTTGATATACACAATTTACAAAATACAATATAATACAAATATACAAAATTACAAACACCCTCAAGAAAATCAGTCATTGTCACGCCCTGGCTCTGGGGACACTGTTATGTTGAGCCAGGGTGTGTAATTCTATGTTTGTATTTCTATGTTGGCCTGAGTGACTCCCAATCAGAGGCAACGAGTGTCAGCTGGTTGTCTCTGATTGGGAGCCATATTTAACTGTCTGTCTTTCACTTTGTGTTTGTGGTTTCTTGTTCTTATTTGGTTTGTGTTATACCGTAGACGTCACGTTATCGTTGTTGTTTTGATCGTGTGATCATTCTAAATAAATAATATGTTCACCTTCAACGCTGCGCCTTGGTCCTCCTCAGACGATCGTGACAGAAGAAACCACCAAGATGTGACCAAGCAGCGTGTCCAGGAGCCATCGCCAGGGAGATCTCTAACAGATCTCCTTCGCCTCCTCGACTGGGTCAAGCCGGATGAGGAGGAGAGGGGCTTGACATTGTGGCAGAAGGGCGAACGGCTGGCGAGGGACATGGAGACCTTGGCCACGGGTAGGAGTGAAGCCCAGAAATTTTTTAGGGGGGGGCTAACGGCGTGGACGACGGGCCAGCAGGAGACCGCGGCAGAGCGGCCCAGCGGATTGGTAGAGGAGGCCGCCAGGTTACGGGGGCCACTGGTCGAAGAGGGGGTGGAAGATGTAGAGGCACGGCGAGAGGTACTGGCGTGTGTTGCCAGTCCGGTCCGGCCTGTTCCTGATCCCCACGTAGGGCCAGTGGTGTGTGTTCCCAGTACGGTCCGGCCTGTTCCTGCCACTCGCACCAAGTCTACGGTGCGCATCGCCAGCCCTGTCCGGCCCGTTCCTGCTCTCCGCACCAAGTCTGTGGTGCGCGTCGCCAGCCCAGTCCGGCCCATTCCTGCTCTCCGCACCAAGTCTGTGGTGCGCGTCGCCAGCCCAGTCCGGCCCATTCCTGCTCCCCGCACCAAGTCTGTGGTGCGTTTCGTCAGCCCGGCTCGGCCCGTTCCTGCTCCCCACACCAAGTCTACGGTGGGTGTCGCCAGCTCGGCCCGGCCTGCTCCCCACACCAAGCCAGTGGTGTGCGTCGTCAGTCCAGCACGGCCCGTGCCTGTTCCCCACACCAAGCCAGTGGTGTGCGTCGTCGGTCCGGCACGGCCCGTGCCTGTTCCACTGGTGCCTGGTCCGGCACCGGTCAGATGCGTTACGCCGGAGCTAGAGCAATCCGCTCCATCAGTGTGCAGTCCAGCTCCGGCCAGCGGGGCCAGACCGGACCAGGGGTACTTTGGGGGGTTGGAGAGGGAGTGGGGATCAGGCCCGGAGCCGGATCCGCCGCCAAGGCGGAGTGCCCACCCGGTCCCTCCCCTGTGGTATTTAGTTGGCGCGGTCGGAGTCCGCGCCTTTAGGGGGGGTACTGTCACGCCCTGGCTCTGGGGACACTGTTATGTTGAGCCAGGGTGTGTAATTCTATGTTTGTATTTCTATGTTGGCCTGAGTGACTCCCAATCAGAGGCAACGAGTGTCAGCTGGTTGTCTCTGATTGGGAGCCATATTTAACTGTCTGTCTTTCACTTTGTGTTTGTGGTTTCTTGTTCTTATTTGGTTTGTGTTATACCGTAGACGTCACGTTATCGTTGTTGTTTTGATCGTGTGATCATTCTAAATAAATAATATGTTCACCTTCAACGCTGCGCCTTGGTCCTCCTCAGACGATCGTGACAGTCACATTCCCCAATCAGCTGCCAATCAGCATGTTGAACTGCCCGATGTATGGAACTCTGTAGATTGATCCATACATGGGGTGCAAAGAAACTAAAAGCAGATTTACCTAACTCTGAAGAGACCGAAGAGATTTCAAGAGTTAGCCATCCCTGAGACCGGGTATGGTTAGTCGTACGTCTGATGGTTATTATTGATGTTAGGTATGGTGGGAGTTTTTGTAAGATATCTTTATAGATAAAAAGAGAGCAATAAATCGACCTACAAGACTTCAAAGAGGGCCAGCCTACTTTCTGGTAAAGAATGCAGTGATGTGTACTGAACCTGTCGCCTGTAATAAAACGAGGTGTGCTATGGTAAACTGCATCTAGCGGCTTTAATGAAGTGAAGAACCATATCAACAGTCTTTCTTTGCCCTCAATGACATGCCATATCATCCTCTCTCTCCACGTCTTTCCTAAGTCATTCACTTCAAATACTTCCCAATGTGTCACTCTTCCATGTGAAGCCATACCATCATCCTCATAGGATACACCTCTCATCTGCCTCTCATCCCTCCCTTCCTCCATCATCCCTTTTTCTCTCTCCCTCCCTTCTCCATCCCTTGTTTCTCAGAGTCTCTACCAGGGGTGTCTGGTCTTCGTCTGGTCCAGGCTGGTTTCTTCTCCCTCTCTCTGGCCTGGAATGCCCCCACATCACAGATCCAGGGCTACAGACTCACCTACGGACCCAGAGGTCAGACACGCACGCACACACACGCACACACATGCACGCACGCACGCACACACAAACGCATACACACACACACACACACACTTTCACACTCTGCTTACTCTAATCATACTCACATTATTTACGCATGAAGGACAAATACCACACAACATTCTGTGGGCCACGCCAAGCCGTCTTGTTAACTGTCATTCTAAAACGCTTAACTCCTCACACATCTCTTTTTGGCAGGTGAGCGTGTAACAGAGAGCGAAAGGGAGGGAGGGAGAGGAGGGATGAGGATAATAGATCATAGATAACCTGCAGGTGGCAAATTGAGAGAGGGAAATCTGTGTGTAGATTTATGGACATCAGGGTAGTATGCAGTACTATGGTGGAGATGAGATGTTGTCTCACCTTATACCGCCCTCCAGCTCTCCCTGTCTATCAGAAGAGTTTTATTACCCAATCATTACCACAAATATCACATACACTTTACAGAGAGCTTTACATAGACTTTAAAAACTGTGCAGAAGAGACTAAGGGAGACTTCAGGTAAGTGAACTAATGATTGAATGTAGAGGCTGAATCTGAAGAGGAGATAATGTGGCTGCGTTTTGAGATACGATACGAGAAAAGGGATGTGTTATGTTAAATAGATCTATGGGGTGTGTTGAGGTGCGTGGCATGACATGTGAGAAAAAGGCCCCATACACACACACACACACACACACACACACACACACACACACACACCATAACTCAGTGCGGCAGCTCCATCCCTGAGTCAGGGCGTGGCAGGAGTACCAGTCTCACATGGAGAACCTTTAGGAGGAGAGACTGGCACTCTTGTGTGTCTTTGTTTTAAATTAGGTCAATGTGTATTCTGTAAGGAGATGTGGGATGTTTCTACCTCTCTCTGTGAATCCCACTGCAAGCAACTGCAAACCCTAATTCATGCAACCAGTACACCCACACTACCACACACCCTCTGTTTACCTTGTCTGTGATAGGATGAAGATCTGTGCCTATGGCTCCAGGCAACACATTCCTCTATGGCTGGCCCGTTGCCTTGGTGGCATGTTACCTTGGTGACAGCCTGACAGGCTGGGTGGGGCAAGTGTTGCTTCAGTCTGCAGGTCATGGTACTGACAGACAGACAGACAGACAGACAGACACAGACAGACTGTTCTTGCTCTTTCTTACATCATACACATACACTACAAGCATAAGCAAGTGCATTTAAAGATGTGAATAGTGAGCTGTCTATTTACTTGTATGTTGCCTCCTCTAACCCTTGTGTGATTGGCTGGCTGTGATTGATTGACAGGTCAGCCTGCAGCCCAGCTATTGGAGCAGTCTCTGGCTGCAGACTCCACCTCTGTCACCCTGGAGAGGCTACTGCCAGACACAGAATACGTCCTCACCCTATACCCCCTGTTCCCCCGAAACTCTGCCTCCCCCGCCACCCTAACCTCACGCACATGTAAGTACGCCTTACCCCTTCTCTCCCATTACCCGCAGTCAGTACTGCATGATGCATCATTATATCATCTTCAGTTTTAAGTGCACATTATTTGTGTGAATCATTGTTTTTCAATGGAAAAGGTGCACAGAAGTTCTACAGTTGGCATACAACAAAAGAGATGTGTGCTGCAAAGTTCCTGTGCCTGAACTTTCCATGCTCCTGAGCCTGCCCTTACAGCAAGCACAGTGCCTTGTGCAAGTAATGTGAAGGCTACATTAAAGTAACTATCCAGTGTTTCCAGATGTCTATGAAATATGAGCTATAATTAATTACAATATGAGTGAGATGATAGTTTTCCTTCCATAAAATGTTGATTAAGTACCGTAAAACTTCAGTTAAACGCAGTCTCAAATAGCCGCGCAACGGCACATATTTCAGCAAATACAATTTCAAATAAACACTGGGTCTAAATGAATTATTTACGAGGTTACCATGAATTACCATTAATTGTTTACGAGGTTTAATGTTTGATTTGTTAAACATTTGTACATTTTAGTCATTTAGCAGACGCTCTTATCCAAAGTGACTTACAGTTAGTGCATTAAGATAGCTAGGTGTGACAACCACATATCACAGGCATAGAAAGTACATTTTTCCTCAATAATGTAGCTATCAGTAGATTCAGAGTGTCAAGTGCAAGTGCTGGTAATTTTTTATTTATTATATATATATATTTTTTTTGGGGGGGGGGTTATTTAATATGCTGTTTGAAGAGGTAGAGTGTCAGATGTTTTCAGAAGATGGGCAGGGACTCTGCTCTCCTAACTTCAGGGGGAAGACCATTGGGGTCCCAGGACAAAGAAGAGGTTGACTGGGCTGAGCGGGAGCTGCCCTCGTGTAGGGATGGGAGGGCCAAGAGACCTGAGGTGGCAGAACGGAGTGCTCGGTTGGGGTGTAGGGTTTGAGCATAGGTATAGAGGGGCAGTTCCTCTTGCTGCTCCGTAGGCAAGTACCATGGTCTTGTAGTGGATGCGAGCATCGACTGGAAGCCAGTGGAGTGTGCGGACGAGGGGGGTGACATAAGAGAACTTGGGAAGGTACGTTACATTAAATAATTCAGTAATGACTCAAACAAATGATGGCAATCATCCGTTTTTATTAACTTCTAGCCATTGACTGTTAACAGCTGAGAATTGCTAAATAACTGGCAAGCACAAAAACAATCAACAATTTCGGGAGTACAGACCCCTAGAAATTGTCTGATCGCCATTTAGTGGCAAAAGTAAGAACTGCAGAAAATGCACAGCCAAAGAGTATAATAATTATTCTGTCAAGGATTATTTTATTTATATTTTTATAGAGGCATTCTAAAACAAATTAAACTTGACACAGTGTGTAAATGATAACACATAAGTGCAGGAAATTAAGACATTTATTAAAATACTGGAAGTGAATGCTGGAATTAAACAATTAATTATGCAACTGAGGAAAAGCTGTGTGCAATAAGGAAATAGACGCCTGGCTCAAATAGCAGCCTGTCTCTAATAAGAGCCTGTTGTGTTCTGTGATTTTACGGTATGTTAAAAAGCAGCTTTTCTATGTTGGAATGGTGTGGGCATATACCGGTCATAAAAAATATTAATTTGAGTAGACTGCTGATTGGCCAGCTCACATCATCGTTTTTTAAACGGTCTGTTTGAGGTGGGGTTTTTGAAGTGTTTTTATTTCCTCCAATTTATGCTTTGGCCACAAATATGAGTATAGGACGAGTCAACAATATTATTTGGGTACGAGATAACAGAATAATAACTTTTAAAAGTGAGATTGTCACTGGACAGTTACTTTAAGATGAAATCATGTGGAGCTGTTTTTGTATAGATGAGGGAGATTTCATGCCATGTCAACCATACTAGGGTTGAATGTCCGGAAACCGGTTACCGAGATTTACCGGGATATACCGCCCAAAACCACTCATTTTTCCCGGGATAAATAACTGCGAGAAATTATAATAAATTATTTATATGAACAGCATGGCGAGAAATGGAACTGTTATATATATAAACCCTTTTTCAGGACCCTGTCTTTCAAAGAGAATTCGTAAAAACTTCATAGATCTTCATTTGAAAGGGTTTAAACACTGTTTCCCATGCTTGGTCAATGAACCATAAACAATTAATGAACATGCACCTGTGGAACGGTCGTTAAGACACTAACAGCTTACAGACGGTAGGCAATTAAGGTCACAGTTATGAAAACTTAGGACACTAAAGAGGCCTTTCTACTGACTCTGAAAAACACCAAAAGAAAGATGCTCAGGGTCCCTGCTCATCTGTGTGAACGTGCCTTAGGCATGCTGCAAGAGGCATGAGGACTGCAGATGTGGCCAGGGCAATAAATTGCAATGTCTGTACTGTGAGACGCCTAAGACAGCGCTACATGGAGACAGGACGGACAGCTGATCGTCCTCGCACTGGCAGACCATGTGTAACAACACCTGCACAGGATCGGTACATCCGAACATCACACCTGCGGGACAGGTACAGGATGGCAACAACAACTGCCCGAGTTACAGCAGGAATGCACAATCCCTCCATCAGTGCTCAGACTGTCCGCAATAGGCTGAGAGAGGCTGGACTGAGGGCTTGTAGGCCTGTTGAAAGGCAGGTCCTCACCAGACCCAGCGGCAACAACGTCGCATATGGGCACAAACCCACCGTCGCTGGACCAGACAGGACTGGCAAAAAGTGCTCTTCCTCCTCCCTCATGTGGTTTAGTCTCACCAGGGGTGATGGTCAGAGTCGTGTTTATCGTCGAAGGAATGAGCGTTTCACCGAGGCCTGTACTCTGGAGCAGGATCGATTTGGAGGTGGAGGGTCCGTCATGGTCTGGGGCGGTGTGTCACAGCATCATCGGACTGAGCTTGTTGTCATTGCAGGCAATCTCAATGGTGTGCGTTACAGGGAAGACATCCTCCTCCCTCATGTGGTACCCTTCCTGCAGGCTCATCCTGACATGACCCTCCAGCATGACAATGCCACCAGCCATACTGCTCATTCTGTGCGTGATTTCCTGCTAGACAGGAATGTCAGTGTTCTGCCATGGCCAGCGAAGAGCCCGGATCTCAATCCCATTGAGCACGTCTGGGACCTGTTGAAACTTGCAGGTGCCTTGGTGGAAGAGTGGGGTAACATCTCACAGCAAGAACTGGCAAATCTGGTGCAGTCCATGAGGAGGAGATAGATGCACTGCAGTACTTAATGCAGCTGGTGGCCACACCAGATACTGACTGTTACTTTTGATTTTAACCCATTATTCAATTTCTGTTAGTCACATGTCTGTGGAACTTGTTCAGTTTATGTCTCAGTTGTTGAATCTTGTTATGTTCATACAAATATTTACATATGTTAAGTTTGCTGAAAATAAACGCAGTTGACAGTGAGAGGACATTTATTTTTTTGCTGAGTTTATATAAATGATATGTGATGTCTAAATCTGGCTTCTCTACGGCCTCTGCATGATGAATCATCAACGCTCAGGGTGGGGACAGACAGCCCATCTCCGAATGGAGCGCAGTTCACAATGCATGTAGACCTATCATCTTATCATGGTAACTTTTATTCTTGTGACAGGTAGGCCTGCATTTGCTGCAGCATAGCCTATGCTACAGTAATATAAAGACAGAATGCATGTCTAATTTACCGATCTCTATCTGGCTTTCGGGGTCTCCTTATTCTTTAATTGTAAAGATGTTTTTTAAATTACAGCTACAGAGCTTTAAAATAGCCTATCACTTGAATATCATTGCTTTAAATCAGTGCACGTGCGAGCACTCTCTCACAGTCTCCCTCTCTCCATCAAATCCATTCAAATTGCATCCAAAATAGATCATCCTGTTCTAGATTGAAAGACAGTGCATTCGGGAAAGTATTCAGACCCTTTGACTTTTTCCACATTTTGTTAGGTTACAGCTTATTCTAAAATGGTTTAAATAAATGTTTCCTTCATCAATCTACACAGAATAGCCCAGATCCTCTCAAGCTCTGTCAGGAATGGGCCGGACCGGGCTGGCGACGCGCACCATTGGCTTGGTGCGGGGAGCAGGAACGGGCCGGGCCGGGCTGACGACGCGCACCATAGACTTGGTGCGGGGGGCAGGAACGGGCCGGACCGGGCTGGCGACGCGCACCACAGGCTTGGTGCGGGGAGCAGGAACAGGCCGGACCGGACTGACGATGCGCCCCACAGGCTTGGTGCAGGGAGCAGGAACAGGCCGGGCCGGGCTGGCGACGCGCACCATTGGCTTGGTGCGAGGGGCAGGAACAGGCTGGACCGGGCTGGTGACGCGCACCATTGGCTTGGTGCGAGGGGCAGGAACAGGCCGGACCGGGCTGACGACGCGCACCATTGGCTTGGTGCGAGGGGCAGGAACCGGCCGGGCCGGGCTGGCGACCCGCATCACAGGCTTGTTGCGAGGGACAGGAACAGGCCGGACCGCACTGGGAACACACACCACTGGCCTTATATGGGGATCAGGAACGGGCCGGACCGGACTGGCAACGCACTTCAGTACCTCTCGCCGTGCCTCTACACTTTCCCTCCCTCTAATCACCAATGGCTCCCGTAACCCGGTGGCCTTCTCTCCTCGTCCACCAACTCGCCCTTTATCTGCCTCCAGCAGCCCCGTCGCCCATGCATGTGCCCCCCCCTAAAAATGTATTGGGGGTGCCTCTCCCCCGTGGATATGGCCTCCATGGCTCTCGCCAGACTCTCCATCCTCTGCTCCCAAGTCCAACCTCTCTCCTCTTCACGCTGCTTGACCCAGTCGAGGTGGTATCTTCTGTCACGATCGTCATTTGAAGAAACGGGCCAATGCGCAGCGTGGAATGCGAACATCTTTATTTATATTTCACCACACGAACAAAAACAACAAAACGATACGTGAAGTCCTTGGGTACATACACAAACCAACACGGAACAAGATACCACACCACACAAATGCCAAACGACTACCTAAGTATGGTTCCCAATCAGAGACAACAAGCAACAGCTGATTCACGTTGCCTCTGATTGAGAACCACCCCGGCCAACATAGAAACACATCAACTAGATCCTGAACATAGAAACACAAAACATAGACTCTACACACCCTGGCTCAACATAACAGAGTCCCCAGAGCCAGGGCGTGACACCTGCGTTGTCTTGGCTGTGTGCTTAGGGTCGTTGTCCTGTTGGAAGGTGAACCTTCACCCCCAGTCTGAGGTCCTGAGAGCTCTGGAGCAGGTTTTCATCAAGGATCTCTCTGTACTTTGCTCCGTTCATCTTTCCCTCGATCCTGACTAGTCTCCCAGTCCCTGCCGCTGAAAAACATCCCCACAGCATGATGCTGCCACCACCATGCTTTACTGTGCCAGGTGTCCTCCAGACGTGACGCTTGGCATTCAGGTCAAAGAGTTCAATCTTGGTTTCATCAGACCAGATAATCTTGTTTCTCATGGTCTGAGAGTCTTTAGGTGCCTTTTGGCAAACTCCAAGCGGGCTGTCATGTACCTTTTACTGAGGAGTGGCCACACTACCGTAAAGGCCTGATTGGTGGAGTGCTGCAGAGATGGTTGTCCTTCTGGAAGGTTCTCCCATCTCCACAGAAGAACTATAGAGCTCTGTCAGAGTGACCATCGGGTTCTTGGTCCCTCCCTGATCAAGGCCCTTCTCCCCCGATTGCTCAGTTTGGCCGGGTGGCCAGCTCTAGGAAGAGTCTTGGTGGTTCCAAACTTCTTCCATTTAAGAATGATGGAGGCCACTCTGTTCTTGGGGACCTTCAACGCTGCAGACATGTTTTGGTAACCTTCCACAGATCTGTGCCTCGACACAATCCTGTCTCTGCGCTCTACGGACAATTCCTTCGACCTCATGGCTTGGTTTTTGCTTTGACATGCACTGTCAACTGTGGGACCTTATATAGACAGGTGTGTGCCTTTCCAAATTATGTCCAATCAATTGAATTTACCACAGGTGGACTCCAATCAAGTTGTAGAAACATCTCAAGGATGATCAATGGAAACAGGATGCACCTGAGCTCAATTTCGAGTCTCATAGCAAAGGGTCTGAATACTTATGTAAATAAGGTATTTCTGTTTTTATAAAAATATAAATTTGCAAACATTCCTAAAAACAATACCATTATGGGGTATTGTGTGTAGATTGCTGAGTAATAAAAACATTTTAGAATAAGACTGTAATTTAACAAAATGTGGAAAAAGTCAAGGGGTCTGAATACTTTCCGAAGGCACTGTATGTATTGGATAACAGCACAATCATTTGGTATTTTTTGGGCTTGGGCTCATTAAATGTCTTTAATGTAGGGTTCATAAAATGTACGTCCCATCAGGCTCAGGTAGCATCAGGCTTGAATTTTTGATCAAAGCTCTAATCAAATCCAGACAGGCCTATTTATATGCTTTATAATGCTTTTGAATGACACTTCTGGTGAAATATCGGGTTACCCAGGAGAAAAGTGATTTATTCTTGGGATGGAACATTTGTAAAATACTGGGAAAATATTAAACCCTAAACTATACTGATTGGCCTCATGCATTTGTGACTTTATGTGAACTATAGATGGAAAAGTAACAGTGATCAGAAAGGTTCTCATCGCCAGATAGGGAGCTTCACACTGGGCACAGATGTCAATTCAATTTCTATTCCACGTTGGTTCCACGTCATTTCATTGAAATTACGTTGAATAACGTTGATTCAACAAGTGTGTGCCCAGTGGGTTTGCACATGTTTCTCTCAGACAACTTTCAAATGGTCAGAAGATCATACAGCCGCCTGGTGGTGACTATGTTGCCTGCATTAATTATTAAAAGTCTGAAGCTCTTCTCTGTTGTTCATCTTTGCCCTATTTCAGTATGCATAGTGTGTTTAACACTGTGTGTCTGTATGTGTGTGTGTGTGTGTGTGTGTGTGTGTGTTTCCGTGTTTCAAGTTTTTATTGTCACGTGCACAAGTACAGTGAAATGCCTTTCTTGCTCTTTCCCAACAATGCGGTAATAATCAATATCAGTAGTATGAAACAATTATAATAGAGTCAAGTAGAACAAAAACACAAGAGAAATAGAAATGAGAAGAACATGAGAAAGTAAGTTAGCTGTATACAGAGTCAGTGCCAAAACCATATTTACATTGTGCAGGGATACTGGAGTGGTAGGGGAAGATATGTATAGGGGTAAGGTGACTAGGCATCAGGATATCTGATAAACAAAGTAGCAGCTGCGAATATGATGATTGTATGTGAGTGTGTGTGCGTGTGTGTGTAGAGTCGGTATGAATGTGTGTGCGTGTTATGTGTGTGTGTGTGTGTGTGTGTGTAGAGTGTGCGTAGAGTCAGTGCAAAAGTAAAAATATAAAGTGTATATGCAGATAGTCCCTGTAGCCATTTTGTTAGCTATTTAGAAGTATTATGACTTGGGAATAGAAGCTGTTCAGGAGCTTGTTGGTGTCAGACTCCGGTACTGCTTGTTGTGCGGAAGAAGAGAGAACAGTCTATGGCTTCGGTGGCTGGAGTCTTTAACAATTTTACGGGCCATCCTTTCACACCGCCTGATATAGAGGTCCTGGATGGCAGGGAGCTCAACCCCAGTGATGTACTGGGCTGTCCGCACCACCCTCTGTAGCGCCATGCTACCGAGGGCAGTGCATTTGCCATACCAAGCAGTGATGCAGCCAGTCAAAATGCTCTCAATGGTGCAGCTGTATAACTTTTTGAGGATTTGAGGGCCCATACCAAGTCTTTTACATTTACATTTTAAGTCATTTAGCAGACAAATTGGTGCATTCAACTTAGGATAGCCAGTGGGACATCCACCACTGGCGGAGGGGGGGTGTAGAAGGATTAATGTTAGACTATTCCAGGTATTCCTTAAAGAGGTAGGGTTTCAAGTGTCTCCGGAAGGTGGTCAGTGACTCTGCTGTCCTGGCGTCGTGGGGGAGCTTGTTCCACCATTGGGGTGCCAGAGCAGCGAATAGCTTTGACTGGGCTGAGCGGGAACTGTGCTTCCGTAGAGGTAGGGGGGCTAGCAGGCCAGAGGTGGATGAATGTAGTGCCCTCCTTTGGGTGTAGGGTCTGATCAGAGCCTGAGGGTACCTGAGGGGGAAGAAGCGCTGTCGCGCCTTCTTCACGTCTGTTTTCGTGTGTGGATCATTTTAAGTCCTTTGTGGTTTGGACACAGAGGAACTTGAAGCTCTCGACCCACTCCACTGCAGCCCTGTCGATGTGGATGGGGGCGTCCTCGCCCCCTCGTTTCCTGTAGTCCACGATCAGCTCCTTGGTCTTACTGACGTTGACGAAGAGGTTGTTGTCACTGACCTCCTCCCTGTAGGCTGTCTCATGGTCGCCGGTGATCAGGCCTACCACCGTCGTGTTGTCGGCAAACTTGATGATGTTGTTGGAGTCGTGCGTGGCCACGCAGTCGTGGGTGAACAAGGAGTACAGGAGGGGACTAAGCACAGAACACAAGGACAGTTGTTGTGCACACATTGTGTCACTGACTGCTCACTATATAAAGGATTAACAGCCTTGCTGATTCTTCGTGTTGTGTGTGTGCGTTTGTGTGTGCGTTGCAGTGCGTCTGGAGGCGGCCCAGCAGCTGTCAGTAGAGACAGTGTCAGAGCGTAGCGTCCGAGTGCTGTGGAGGGGAGTGGGTGGAGCCAGGGCCTACAGACTGGTCTGGGGACCATTCACAGGTAAGGAGCAGAGAGATGCACCAATCAATATTGACTTATGTATTTACACAAAAGGGTTGTTCTTCAGAAATGCATAGAGACGCTGAATGGAATTTATGAGAGAATCAGCAACGCTGTTCATATTTTATATAGTGACAACTGTCCTTGTCCCTTTCACTCTTCCATTTCTTCCTCTGTCTACTCTCTGCTCTCCTCTCTCCTGCCCCTCTCTCCTCTCCCTCACCCCTCTCTCCTCTCTCCTCTCCCCCTTCTCCTGTGTCTCTCCCAGGTCGTGATATGGAGTCTGTGGAGGTGGCTGGTGACAGTGAGACTCACACCCTGTTGAACCTGCAGCCAGACACAGAGTACATTGTCACTGTCATCGCCCTCTACGAAGCCAACACAGAGGGACCTACCGCTACCGCCAGGTTCAAGATAGGTACAGAGCTACACACACATGCATGTACGCACTGCAGACATACATTTCCCTCTCGTTCTGTCCCTCTGTCTATTTTCTTCTGTCTCTGTCCCAGTAACTTCTACTTGTGTTTAATTTTAGCCAGTGAAGGAATGCCTTTATAAAATACTTTCTGCTGCATCCAACAGACCTTAGTGTAAAGGACTGTAGGGGGTAGAGAGGTAGAAAGGGAAGAAGGAGATATAGAGGAATAGAGCCTGAGAGAGAGAGCCATAGATATAGAACACTGTATATATGGTATATCTCTATGGAGAGAACTACAACCGTTTAGCTTTATGAATTTTTTATTCCTCGTGTTATTATTTTTATATTATTTATATTTTTTCTCTCTGCATTGTTGGGAAGGGCCCTTAAGTAAGCATTTCACTGTTAGTCTACACCTGTTGTATACAAAGCATGTGACAATTAAAATTTGATTTGATTTGAAACACTTTCCTATCCTCGTGGGGACCTAAAATGTATTTCCATTCAAAATCCTATTTTCCCTAACTCTAAACATAACCCTTACCCTAACCTTAACCCTAACCTTAACCCCTAACCCTAATCCTAAACCTAACCTTAACCCCAATTCTAACCCTAATTGTAACCCTAACCCTAAACCTAACCCCTAACCCCTAAGCTTAAAATAGCCTTTGTTCTCTTGGGGACGTGGGAAATGTCCCCACGAGGGAGAATTTTCCTTGTTGTACGATCCTTGTGGGGACATTTGGGGATTTCAGGTCCCCCACGAGGATAGAAGAACAAGCACGCAGCACGCACGCACGCACACACACACACACACACACACACAATCACCTCCTGTGTATGACTCATTTTAGAGGGATGTCTTTACTTAAAGGTGCACTATGCAGAAATTGCTCTGCCGTTTCCTCGTTGCTAAAATAGTTAGCCTAATGTCACGCCCTGACTCAGAGGACGCTTATATGTTGAGTCAGGGTGTGTATATTCCTTGTTGTGATGTTCTATGTTGTATTTTCTATGTTTAGATCTAGTATGTCTAGATCTATGTTGGCCGGTGTGGTTCCCAATCAGAGGCAGCTGTCGCTCGTTGTCTCTTATTAGGGACCATACTTAGGCAGCCTATTGGCACTAGTGGGTTGTGGGATCTTGTTCCGTGTTAGTTATGTTGTTTGTGTACCTTGGACTTCACGTTTCGTTTCTTGTTTTGTCGTTGTGTTTATAAGTCAAATAAACATGTTTGCATATCACGCTGCGCCTTGGTCTGACCCGTTCATCAACGATCGTGACAGAAGATCCCACCAAACGAGGACCAAGCAGCGTGTCCAGGAGCAGACAGCCTGGACATGGGAGGAGATCCTGGAAGGAAAGGGTTCCTGGACATGGGAGGAGATTCAGGCCGGGATGGATCGCCGTCCTTGGGAGGAGACAGTGGAGGCGCGGTATAGAGAGGAGCAGCGGCAATGCAGAAGGCGCCGGCCGAGGAAGAAGCCAGAGAGACAGCCCCAATAAAAAATTGGGGGGGGGGGGGGGCTAAAAGGGTGGTTGGCGGAGCCTAGTGTTAGAGCAGAGCCAACTCCCCGTACTCACGCGAGGAGGCGTGTGACTGGGCAGGCTCCGTGTTATGCGGAGCTACGTACTGTGTCGCCAGTGTGCCGGCACAGCCCTGTACGTCCTGTGCTAGCACCACGCACGTGCCGTGCGAAGATGGGCATCCAGCCAGGACGGGGTGTGCCGGCTCAACGCTCCTGGTCTCCAGTACGCCTCCTCGGTCCCGCATATCCTGCGCCGGTTCTACGTACTGTATCGCCAGTGCGCATGCACAGCCCTGTGCGTCCTGTGCTAATGCCTCACACATACTGTGCAGAAGTAGGCATCCAGCCAGGACGGGTTGTGCCAGCTCTCCGCTTCAGACCTCCAGTCCGCCTCCACAGTCCGGTACGGCCCGTGCCTGCTCCCCGCACCAAACCAGTGGTGCGTGTTCCCAGCCCGGCCCGGCCTGTTCCTGCTCCCCGCACCAAACCAGTGGTGCGTGTTCCCAGCCCGGCCCGGCTTGTTCCGGCCCCTCGCACCAAGCCAGTGGTGCGCGTCGCCAGCCCGGTCCGGCCTGTTCCTGCCCCTCGCACCAAGCCAGTGGTGCGCGTCGCCAGCCCGGCCTGTTCCTGTCCCTCGCACCAAGCCAGTGGTGCGCGTCGCCAGCCCGGCCCGGCCTGTTGCTGCCCCCCGCACCAAGCCGTGGTGCGCGTCGCCGGCCCGGCCTGTTCCGGCCCCTCGCACCAAGCCAGTGGTGCGCGTCGCCAGCCCGGTCCGGCCTGTTCCTGTGCCTTGCACCAAGCCAGTGGTGTGCGTCGCCAGCCCGGTCCGGCCTGTTCCTGTCCCTCGCACCAAGCCAGTGGTGCGCGTCGCCAGCCCGGCCTGTTCCTGTCCCTCGCACCAAGCCAGTGGTGCACGTCGCCGGCCCGGCCTGTTCCTGCTCCTCGCACCAAGCCAGTGGTGCGTGTGTCCAGTCCAGCTCCGGTCAGCGGCTCCAGTCCGGAGCCTGAGCAGTCCGCTCCACCGGTGCCCGATCCAGCTCCGGTCAGCGGCTCCAGTCCAGACCCAGACGTCAGCCCCTCTCCAGGTTCGGGGTCTCCCACACCAGGGTCCAGACAGGGCTTGGAGTATAGTGGGAGGAAGGAGAGGGGAAGCAACGTGCCAGATCTAGACCAGACCAGGGGCGCAACAGGGAGGCGAAGAGTGAGAGGTCGTCACGCCCTGAGCCGGATCCGCCTCCGAGGCGGAATGCCCACCCGGCCCCTACCCTGTTATGTGTATGTTGTGCGGTCAGAGTCCGCACCTTTGGGGGGGGGTACTGTCACGCCCTGACTCAGAGGACGCTTATATGTTGAGTCAGGGTGTGTATATTCCTTGTTGTGATGTTCCTGGACATGGGAGGAGATTCAGGCCGGGATGGATCGCCGTCCTTGGGAGGAGACAGTGGAGGCGCGGTATAGAGAGGAGCAGCGGCAACGCAGAAGGCGCCGGCCGAGGAAGAAGCCAGAGAGACAGCCCCAATAAAAATTTTGAGGGGGGCTAAAAGGGTGGTTGGCGGAGCCTAGTGTTAGAGCAGAGCCAACTCCCCGTACTCACGCGAGGAGGCGTGTGACTGGGCAGGCTCCGTGTTATGCGGAGCTACGTACTGTGTCGCCAGTGTGCCGGCACAGCCCTGTACGTCCTGTGCTAGCACCACGCACGTGCCGTGCGAAGATGGGCATCCAGCCAGGACGGGGTGTGCCGGCTCAACGCTCCTGGTCTCCAGTACGCCTCCTCGGTCCCGCATATCCTGCGCCGGTTCTACGTACTGTATCGCCAGTGCGCATGCACAGCCCTGTGCGTCCTATGCTAATGCCTCACACATACTATGCAGAAGTAGGCATCCAGCCAGGACGGGTTGTGCCAGCTCTCCGCTTCAGACCTCCAGTCCGCCTCCACAGTCCGGTACGGCCCGTGCCTGCTCCCCGCACCAAACCAGTGGTGCGTGTTCCCAGCCCGGCCCGGCCTGTTCCTGCTCCCCGCACCAAACCAGTGGTGCGTGTTCCCAGCCCGGCCCGGCTTGTTCCGGCCCCTCGCACCAAGCCAGTGGTGCGCGTCGCCAGCCCGGTCCGGCCTGTTCCTGTCCCTCGCACCAAGCCAGTGGTGCGCATCGCCAGCCCGGCCTGTTCCTGTCCCTCGCACCAAGCCAGTGGTGCGCGTCGCCAGCCCGGCCCGGCCTGTTGCTGCCCCTCGCACCAAGCCAGTGGTGCGCGTCGCCGGCCTGGCCTGTTCCGGCCCCTCGCACCAAGCCAGTGGTGCGCGTCGCCAGCCCGGTCCGGCCTGTTCCTGTGCCTTGCACCAAGCCAGTGGTGCACGTCGCCAGCCCGGTCCGGCCTGTTCCTGTCCCTCGCACCAAGCCAGTGGTGCGCGTCGCCAGCCCGGCCTGTTCCTGTCCCTCGCACCAAGCCAGTGGTGCACGTCGCCGGCCCGGCCTGTTCCTGCTCCTCGCACCAAGCCAGTGGTGCGTGTGTCCAGTCCAGCTCCGGTCAGCGGCTCCAGTCCGGAGCCTGAGCAGTCCGCTCCACCGGTGCCCGATCCAGCTCTGGTCAGCGGCTCCAGTCCAGACCCAGACGTCAGCCCCTCTCCAGGTTCGGGGTCTCCCACACCAGGGTCCAGACAGGGCTTGGAGTATAGTGGGAGGAAGGAGAGGGGAAGCAACGTGCCGAGGTCTAGACCAGACCAGGGGCGCAACAGGGAGGCGAAGAGTGAGAGGTCGTCACGCCCTGAGCCGGATCCGCCTCCGAGGCGGAATGCCCACCCGGCCCCTACCCTGTTATGTGTATGTTGTGCGGTCAGAGTCCGCACCTTTGGGGGGGGGGTACTGTCACGCCCTGACTCAGAGGACGCTTATATGTTGAGTCAGGGTGTGTATATTCCTTGTTGTGATGTTCTATGTTGTATTCCTATGTTTAGATCTAGTATGTCTAGATCTATGTTGGCCGGTGTGGTTCCCAATCAGAGGCAGCTGTCGCTCGTTGTCTCTGATTGGGGACCATACTTAGGCAGCCTATTGGCACTAGTGGGTTGTGGGATCTTGTTCCGTGTTAGGTATGTTGTTAGTGTACCTTGGACTTCACGTTTCGTTTCTTGTTTTGTCGTTGTGTTTATAAGTCAAATAAACATGTTTGCATATCACGCTGCGCCTTGGTCTGACCCGTTCATCAACGATCGTGACACCTAATTTCAGTTTATGTGACAAAACAAGAAAGGATAGTGTAGAGAATCATTGTAAAATCTAAACCGCTGTGAAATATATTTTCCATAACAAAAAATCTTGTATTTTCAGCTGTTTGATGCTGGTGTACAAAACCGAAAGTAAAAGACGGGAAGCATAGAAATAGCGCACATAGAACAGATACCGCGGCTTATACTTGCTTTCGATGGGAATGAGAGATCTATAACTCACATTTCTATGTGAATTTGGTCAGGTCGCCCAAATAATATTGCAGGGGATTTGTGTTTCAGTTGAAGCTGAATCACCATCACGTTCATTGGTCTGGATTTAAATCAGGGAGGGGGATGCTGTAGCTATTTAGGACAGAATGCCCCCTAATGCTCCTCTCTGAGATCATAGATCTCAAATGGGAAGGCAAACACACTATGTTTGGTAGCTAGCTACACTCTAAAAAATGCTGGGTTGTTTGGTTGACCCAGCTGCTGGGTTGCATGCATTGGGTCACTTAGTTGGGTTGTTTTCTTAAAAAAGAGCAAGGTTGGGTTGTTGGTGCTGGGTTATTGAGATATGATGCAGCGATCAGATCAGAAGACTGGAGGCGTAGTTTAGTAGTGGCGTGGCTCTCAAATTAAAAAAGACCCAGCTGTTGGGTCAATCCAGCATTAAAGTAAAAAATACACAATTGATGGTTAAATTAACCCATGTTTGGGTAATCCCAACAACCCAACATGTTAGGTTATTCAAGCAACCCAACTGGCTTGGTCAAAATAACCCAGCGTGTTTTCTGTACAATATTTACCCAGCGCTGGGTTACCAAAGAACCCAAATTGGGTTGTTTTTAACCCAGCATTTTTTTTTAGAGCGTAAGAGTTGTTAAAAACAAGTATACTGGCAGTCCAATGAAAATGCATCAGGAATTGAAATCCTGCTATAATAGCTGAATATCTCCTGAAGGGTTTTTAAGAGGTTCTGACATAGCATGATGTATCAGTGGTTGTGTTGTGTCTGCGTGTTCCCCCCATGCAGAGCGTCTCGAGCAGCAGGTGCTGAAGGCAGCCACCACCGGGCCCTCCTCCATCCGCCTCACCTGGAACCTAATCCAGTCTGCCAGGGGATACCGCCTGGAGTGGAGTCAGGGGGATGGTCAGACACACACACACACTCATCCTCACATACATGCGTACGCACACACACATACAAAAGATGAATGTACTTTTAAACCCCTCAGCATTGAAGTACATACAGTATACCAATCCACTCACACAAACATTGATGTACCTTCACTGACTGACTGTCAACATCTAACTGACTTACTGTACTCCTCAGGTGGCAGAGTGCAAAGTCAGTCGTTCTCCAGGAGCACCACTAGTTTTGATCTGACAGGGCTGCAGCCCAGCACTGAGTATGTCATCACTCTGTTCACCCTGTATGATGGACGAGAGGAGGCCACCCCCGTCTCCACCTCTCCTACAGGTCAGAGATAGGGGCAGGCACCCCCCTTTTATGTTTTAGCTAGTGTCTTTTTTGTTGTTGTAAAGACAATCAATTATTTGTATCTTTTACTTTATTCACTACTATTTTACTGGACCCCCCCCCGTACAGTGGAACAGCAGGTGGGGAGGGTGTCCAACCTGCGAGTGGTAGAGTCCCTGGGCAGCACTGTGCGACTGGGATGGACAGGGGTTGCCGGGGCAACACAGTACCGTATCCTCATGGTCAATACCGAAGGTAAGGGCATGTCTCAAATGACACCCTATTCCCTCCCTATATAGTGCACTATTTTAGATCAGAGGTCACATAGGTGTTAACACTCTGTACTTATAGCGCAAACAGAGGAAACCCGCAGTATCCCTGGAAGCCAGACGACCCTTGACCTTAGGGATCTGACGGAGGGCGTGTCTTATGGGGTCAGCGTGACAGCTGTGGTGGGAGACAGCGAGGGGGACCCGGTCACTGTTTACATCAAAGCAGGTGACACACACATTGTATGCTACTGCTTGCTCCAGCCTGTCTGAGAGAGGATGTGGATAGATTGAATGGGTGCAGATCTTGGCTCAGGGCTGCAGTGTGTTTGCCAGTTTGGTAAACAGTGGTCTGCTGTGTGATGAATGGCTGCCAGCTGAATATCCATGTGAATGGGTGGTGAATAGAGATACTGAGGAGAGGTGAGCTGAGGCAAGCCCAGGCAGAGATGACAGAAGAGGGCCTGTGGGCTAGTGTGGAGGTACAGGACAGTACACCTGGGCCGTGTTTAGTAGGCATGAAACGGCAAAATGTTTTAAAATGGGAAATAAATGTTTGATATTGATAATTAGAAATGTTTGGTTGTCTACTGAACTGCAATGTTCTTATTGATGTATGATTTCAGAACAAGCATTGGGGAAAGTGACCAACCTACGTGTGACAAATATCAATGGTCGGCGACTCCGAATCGCCTGGACAGGGGTTTTGGGGGCAACAGGGTACAGGGTCACTTGGAGACAAGGCAACAGTAAGTGTCAACTGAATTATGATTGGAATGATATTGTGATAAAATAGTCCTCAGAAATACAATTATTTTACATGTTATGATAAACATAATTATAGCAGCAGTCCCTATTTTTGTATGTATGTGTTACTGTCTCTCTCATCCTCTCATTTAGATGCAGAGCAGTCCCAGTGTGTGAGTCTATAACAGTGTGTATCTCTCCTAGATGCAGAGCAGTCCCAGTGTGTGTGTCTATAACAGTGTGTATCTCTCCTAGATGCAGAGCAGTCCCAGTGTGTGAGTCTATAACAGTGTGTATCTCTCCTAGATGCAGAGCAGTCCCAGTGTGTGTGTCTATAACAGTGTGTATCTCTCCTAGATGCAGAGCAGTCCCAGTGTGTGTGTCTATAACAGTGTGTATCTCTCCTAGATGCAGAGCAGTCCCAGTGTGTGTGTCTATAACAGTGTGTATCTCTCCTAGATGCAGAGCAGTCCCAGTGTGTGTGTCTATAACAGTGTGTATCTCTCCTAGATGCTGAGCAGTCCCAGTGTGTGTGTCTATAACAGTGTGTATCTCTCCTAGATGCAGAGCAGTCCCGTGTTCTGGGACCAGAGGCCTCGTCCTACACGGTGGAGGGGCTGCAGCCAGACGAGGCTGTGGTCCTGGGCGTGGGGGCTGTGATTGGTCAACGCATCGGGGAAGTGGTCACCCTCTCGGCCAGGACCAATGGGAACAACGGCTCAAGCTCAAGCACGGTTAGCGGCCTGCGCATCGTTGATGTCACCTCTCAGACGATACGCATCACATGGTCACCCGTCTCCAGGGCAACTGGCTACAAGATTACCTGGCGCAGTAGAGAAGGTAGGCGTGGTTCCAATAAATTATATGGATGTCATCTGACGTATAAACTACATTCCTATGGATCCGTACCTTAGGTCTCAAAGCACATTAAGGCTCAAAGAACACATTTTATAGGGATTGTCTAGTGGTTGCTGTAGTCTAGTAGTACAGTAGTAGCAATCCCCAGTAGCATTCTCCTCTCTACCTGAACCTATCTCACTACAGGAGTGGAGTCCTCCCGCACAGTAGCCGCTGATGTCACTTCCGTCACCATCAACAGCCTTCAGGAAGACTCCTCCTACCGGGTGTCAGTCTCCTCACTGATTGGCTCTCGAGAAGGACGCCCCGCCTCCCTGAACACCAGAACAGGTATGCAATCAATCAATTTCCAAATTGACCCCTAACCTCTACCCTTTTTCTTCTTGATAGCCCCTAGAACATTTAAATGAGTTGGTTAGCTGGCAACAATATGGTAACAGCTTCACCTTGCCCTCACTCCTTGCACTCACGTTAATTTAAGGAATGATTGAATGAAATGAGTGCTATCCTATCATATAAACAGTGCTTGTAAATTGGTGACTGAAATCTTCCATCTCTCTGTCCACAGCGCCAGACCAGGGTGTGGTGGGAACAGTGACCTCACTCCAAGTCCGGGAGTCCCCTGGTGAGGTCGTCAGGGTAACATGGGTGGGCGTGCAGGGAGCAACAGCCTATCGTGTATCTTGGAAGCGAATTGATGGTGAGAGTTTTCCTGCTCTAAAAAGTTTTGAAATCTGAATGATATTCCCCTGATAGTTCATGATTCAACAGTGTAGTATCCATAGCTCATTTTTAATATATGAACCTTTATTTACACCATTCACACTTAAAGGTCCAATGCAGACGTTTTTATCTCAATATCAAATAATTTCTGGCTAACAATTAAGTACCTTACTGTGATTGTTTTCAATTAAAATTGTTAAAAATAAACCAAAATTGCTTCTTAGCAATGGGAAAATTCTCAAGCAAGAATTTTGCTAGGACTGCCTTGGAGTGGTCTGTGAGGGAGGGGAAAACTGAAAATTAGCTGTTATTGGCAGAGAGGTTTGGAACTCTCTTTCTTATTGGTCTGTTACAGGGATGGGTAACTTTGATGGGGGTGGGGGCCACAGGCCTACGAAATTGGTCCGCGGGCCGTCAGTTGCCCATCCCTGGTCTATTAACTAATTTACCGCATGGTGATGTCACCATGGAAGGCCAAAACTCCATCCCACCAAAACAGGTTGAAATTTCAGGCGGTCTTTTCAAATAGCTCTTACACTAAAAGGGCATTACCATAGTTTTCACAATTTCACAGTATTATTCCAACCTCATAGTGTGGAAAATATATCAAACACAGGAAAATCACGTTTTTGACTGCACTGGGGCTTTAACATATATTAATGAAACATGGCAGCCATTTTGTGCCAGACCACTCACCACTGCCCCTTCTGTATTGGTGTAGGTGGAGAGGAGAGGAGCCAGCTGGTGGGTGGTGACCTGACAGCGGTGGACCTGGAGCAGCTGGACCCGGGAGCTCAGTACGAGGTGCAGGTCATGGCCCTGGTCCAGAACAGACAGGGAACCCCGGTCTCTGTCAGAGTCACCACACGTGAGTGACAACTACATCCTTAAAGAATAGAGACTGTGCGGTAACATGTTCCTCTGTTTGATTAGAATGGATATGAAAACATTGGAAGGTGTAACTTTTCTGTAGTACTATGTCAATTCAGAAAGTAAACTAATTGGAATTTCAGTGTACTTGAAATGGATTTGACCCCAACCCTGCTATCTAGTATTATGTCCCATAGTACTGTATCTTTCCTGTAGTATTATACTGTATGTAGTGTTTTGATGGGTTACTGCTTTGTACTGTATTTCATCTTCCAGTATTCTCATTGTGTGTGTGTGTGTGTGTGTGTAGCAGGGGAACCTGCTGCTGTAGACCGTGTGGAAGGGGTCAGAGTGCTGGCGGCTACCCCAGGGGTGCTGCGACTGGTCTGGAGAGGGATGGCCGGGGTGACAGGGTACCGCATCTACTGGAGATCAGCCCTGGGTAAACACACACAGATACGTACACAGATACACACACAGATACATACATAGATAAACACACAGATACATACACAGATACACACACATATACATACATAGATACACACACAGATACATACATAGATACACACAGAGATACATACACAGATACACACACAGATAAATACACAGATACACACAGATAAATACACAGATACACACACACAGAGATAAATACACAGAAACACACACAGATTTTTTATTTATTTATTTTATTTCACCTTTATTTAACCAGGTAAACCAGTTGAGAACAAGTTCTCATTTACAACTGCGACCTGGCCAAGATAAAGCAAAGCAGAGCGATAAAAACAACAACACAGAGTTACATATGGGGTAAAACAAAACAAAGTCAAAAATACAACAGAAATAAATATATATACAGTGTGTGCAAATGTAGCAAGTTATGGAGGTAAGGCAATAAATAGGCTATAGTGCAAAATAATTACAAATTAGTATTAACACTGGAATGATAGATGTGCAAGAGATGATGTGCAAATAGAGATACTGGGGTACAAATGAGCAAAATAAATAACAATATAGGGATGAGGTAGTTGGGCGGGCTAATTTCAGATGGGCTGTGTACAGGTGCAGTGATCGGTAAGGTGCTCTGACAACTGATAAATACACAGATACATACACAGATACATACACAGATACACACACACAGATACATACACAGATACATACACATAACTAAAATGCGCATCCGAACATATTTTTGTGCACATTTGTTTTGTTGCATGTAATATTTTTTACTGTTTCATTATATTCTCTACTGGTTCCATGCAGGTGAGTCTGAATCGAGCCGTCTGATAGGTAGAGATGCAACCTCGTTTGACCTGGATGGTCTGCGGCCTGGGGTGAGCTACACTGTGAGGCTGGCTGCCATCTTCAGGGACAGAGAGAGTCAAGCTGTCACTATCACTGCCTCCACAGGTACACTTCTCTGTCAACACCATCTCCTCTCCTTTCATTCACTATAGTTAGGGACAGGAGTTTCCTGACCATGTGACCTGACCAAGAAAAACTATTGGCCCTAGTAACAGGCTATAACCAGTCACTCACTGTAGTCACTCACATACAGTATCTATCTCCTTTACTGATCCCTTTCTTCTCTCCTCTCCTCCCCTCAGCTCCCTTACAGCCTGTAAGGGGTCTGCGTGCTATGGAGGTTACCCAGAATTCTGTGTTGTTGGGCTGGGTTCCATTGACTGGTGCCACCGGATACGTCCTGCGCTGGAGAGAGGAGAGGGGTAACACTGGGGTCAAATTTAGTCGTTTATTGACTATGTTGCACATTGAAAGGTTGATCTGTAATCTTTGTCTGTCTGTGTGTGTGTGTGTGTGTGTGTGTGTGTGTGTGTGTGTGTGTGTGTGTGCGTGTGCGTGTGGGTTTGTGTGTTCGTGCTTGCTTGCTTGCATCCATATGTGTGTGTGTGTGTGTGTGTGTGTGTGTGTGTCTGTGTGCGTGTTCTCTAAACAGACACTGGTCTGGGTCAGTCCATCCCTCTGCCTGGGACATCCAGCTCCTACAGGGTGACAGGGCTGCGTCTGGGCCTGAGGTACCGCTTCACCCTGCAGCCTAGCTTCCAGAGGGAGGTTGGCCCTGAGACCTCACTGGACGAACGGACTGGTAAAACTGACAGTTCACATACCGGTCCCTGAATCCCTTAAACTACTCGTTTCTAAACATTTCTGCACTGTGACATTTCTTCCCCAAACGTTTCTTTGCCAGTCTAAGAGGAACCAGCCCAACTCAATATTCTGCGACCTCTCTTTCTTTCTCTCTCTCTCTCTCTCTCTCTCTCTCTCTCTCTCTCTCTCTCTCTCTCTCTCTCTCTCTCTCTCTCTCTCTCTCTCTCTCTCTCTCTCTCTCTCTCTCTCTCTCTCTATGTCCTCAGTGTGTGTAGGTGGTCGTCTGGACGTGGTGTTCCTGGTTCCAGCCTCCAGGGATCGGACCAGCCTGGTTGAGCCCCTACTCTCCCTACTGACCAGCGCTGCCGGCTCCCTCACCACCATCGGAGCCCAGGACTCACAGGTACTGGAGTGGTCTAGGATCAGTTTAGCCTTTTAGATCATAATGAATAAGACGCGGGGGGGGGGGGTTGGGACCTGATCCTAGATGAGTGCTCCTACTCTGAGACGCTTTGTGAAAGGCCCAGGCATCTGTGTGTTGGCTTCTGGTGTACTTTTGTGATGTGATTCTGTGGTGTGGTGTTATACTCTGTACTTCCTGTCCCCTCCAGATGGGGATTGTAGTGTACAGCGCCCGGCCCAAGGTCTGGTTCCTGCTCAATCGCCATAGCAACAGTGAGACGCTGCTTCAGGAGATCCTGTCCACGCCTTTTGAAGACGGCCCAGGGAATGCTCTAGGTGTGTGTGTGTTTTATACGTACCTGTGTGTGTGTGTCAGGGTTTCCATTAGGAAAATGTTCCACCGGACAAGTGACCCGGAAATATTTAATTTATCGGACATTTGATACATTTACCGGTCATCCATATGCATTGGGTGCATAACCCATTAGGCCATCCACCCATATTGGCTAAATGATCCACATTTACATGTCCTTAAAAACAACCTATAGGCCTCACTAATTACAAAAACACTATTCCTTGTGTTCTGATGTGTAGCATATACACAGCTTTATAGCCTATTGTTTTTTTGTCTAAAAACAATAAATCAAATCAAATTGTATTGGTCGCACACACATATTTAACAGATTGCGAGTGTAGCGAAATGCTTGTAAAGAATACAGTTGAAGTCTGAAGTTTACATACACCTTAGCCAAATACATTTAAACTCAGTTTTTCACAATTCCTGACATTTAATCCTAGTAAAAATTCCCTGTCTTAGGTCATTTAGGATCACCACTTCATTTTAAGAATGTGAAATGTCAGAATAATAGTAGAGAGAATGATTTATTTCAGCTTTTATTTGTTTCATCACATTCCCAGTGGGTCAGAAATGTACATACACTTAATTAGTATTTGGTAGCATTGCCTTTAAATTGTTTAACTTGGGTCAAACGTTTCGGGTAGCCTTCCACAAGCTTCCCACAATAAGTTGGGTGAATTTTGGCCCATTCCTCCTGACAGAGCTGGTGTAACTGAGTCAGGTTTGTAGGCCTCCTTGCTCGCACACGCTTTTTCAGTTCTGCCCACACATTTTCTATAGGATTGAGGTCAGGGCTTTGTGATGGCCACTCCAATACCATGACTTTGTTGTCCTTAAGCCATTTTGCAACAACTTTGGAAGTACAGTGAGGGAAAAAAATATTTGATCCCCTGCTGATTTTGTATGTTTGCCCACTGACAAAGAAATGATCAGTCTATAATTTTAATGGTAGGTTTATTTGAACAGTGAGAGACAGAATAACAACAACAAAATCCAGAAAAACGCATGTCAAAAATGTTATAAATTGATTTGCATTTTAATGAAGGAAATAAGTATTTGACCCCCTCTCAATCAGAAAGATTTCTGGCTCCCAGGTGTCTTTTATACAGGTAACGAGCTGAGATTAGGAGAACACTCTTAAAGGGAGTGCTCCTAATCTCAGTATGTTACCTGTATAAAATACACCTGTCCAAAGAAGCTATCAATCAATCAAATTCCAAACTCTCCACCATGGCCAAGACCAAAGAGCTCTCCAAGGATGTCAGGGACAAGATTGTAGACGTACACAAGGTTGGAATGGGCTACAAAACCATCGCCAAGCAGCTTGGTGAAAAAGTGACAACAGTTGGTGCGATTATTCACAAGTGGAAGAAACACAAAATAACTGTCAATCTCCCTTGGCCTGTGGCTCCATGCAAGATCTCACCTCGTGGAGTTGCAATGATCATGAGAATGGTGAGGAATCAGCCCAGAACTACACGGGAGAATCTTGTCAATGACCTCAAGGCAGCTGTGACCATAGTCACCAAGAAAACAATTGGTAACACACTACGCCGTGAAGGACTGAAATCCTGCAGCGCCCGCAAGGTCCCTCTGCTCAAGAAAGCACATATAAATGCCCTTCTGAAGTTTGCCAATGAACATCTGAATGATTCAGAGGAGAACTGGGTGAAAGTGTTGTAGTCAGATGAGACCAAAATCGAGCTCTTTGGCATCAACTCAACTCGCCGTGTTTGGAGGAAGAGGAATGCTGCCTATGACCCCAAGAACACCATCCCCACCGTCAAACACGGAGGTGGAAACATTATGCTTTGGGGGTGTTTTTCTGCTAAGGGGACAGGACAACTTCACCGCATCAAAGGGACGATGGACTGGGCCATGTACCGTCAAATCTTGGGTGAGAACATCCTTCCCTCAGCCAGGGCATTGAAATTGGGTCGTGGAAGGGTATTCCAGCATGACAATGACCCAAAACACACAGCCAAGGCAACAAAGGAGTGGCTCAAGAAGAAGCACATTAAGGTCCTGGAGTGGCCTAGCCAGTCTCCAGACCTTAATCCCATAGAAAATATCTGGAGGGAGCTGAAGGTTCGAGTTGCCAAACGTCAGGCTCGAAACCTTAATGACTTGGAGAAGATCTGCAAAGAGGAGTGGGACAAAATCCCTCCTGAGATGTCTGAACTCTTTGATTGTCAACAAGGGTTTTGCCACCAAGTACTAAGTAATGTTTTGCAGAGGGGTCAAATACTTATTTCCCTCATTAAAATGCAAATCAATTTATAACATTTTTGACATGCGTTTTTTTTTTTTTTTTTTGTTGTTATTCTGTCTCTCATTGTTCAAATAAACCTACCATTAAAATGATCAAATCAAATCAAATCACATTTTATTGGTCACATGCGCCGAATACAACAGGTGCAGACATTACAGTGAAATGCTTACTTACAGCCCTTAACCAACAGTGCATTTATTTTTAACAAAAAAAGTACAAATAAACCAACAACAAAAAAAAGTGTTGAGAAAAAAAAGAGCAGAAGTAAAATAAAATAACAGTAGGGAGGCTATATATACAGGGGGGTACGGTTGCAGAGTCAATTTGCGGGGGCACCGGCTAGTTGAGGTAGTTGAGGTAATATGTACATGTGGGTAGAGTTAAAGTGACTATGCATAAATAATTAACAGAGTAGCAGCAGCGTAAAAAGGATGGGGTGGGGGGGCAGTGCAAATAGTCCGGGCAGCCATGATTAGCTGTTCAGGAGTCTTATGGCTTGGGGGTAGAAGCTGTTGAGAAGTCTTTTGGACCTAGACTTGGCACTCCGGTACCGCTTGCCGTGCGGTAGCAGAGAGAACAGTCTATGACTAGGGTGGCTGGAGTCTTTTACAATTTTGAGGGCCTTCCTCTGACACCGCCTGGTATAGAGGTCCTGGATGGCAGGAAGCTTGGCCCCAGTGATGTACTGGGCCGTACGCACTACCCTCTGTAGTGCCTTGCGGTCGGAGGCCAAGCAGTTGCCATACCAGGAGGTGATGCAACCAGTCAGGATGCCCTCGATGGTGCAGCTGTATAATTTTTTGAGGATCTGAGGACCCATGCCAAATCTTTTCAGTCTCCTGAGGGGGAATAGGCTTTGTCGTGCCCTCTTCACGACTGTCTTGGTGTGTTTGGACCATGATAGTTCGTTGGTGATGTGGACACCAAGGAACTTGAAGCTCTCAACCTGTTCCACTACAGCCCCGTCGATGAGAATGGGGGCGTGCTCAGTCCTCTTTTTTTTCCTGTAGTCCACAATCATCTCCTTTGTCTTGGTCACGTTGAGGGAGAGGTTGTTGTCCTGGCACCACACGGCCAGGTCTCTGACCTCCTCCCTATAGGCTGTCTCATCGTTGTCGGTGATCAGGCCTACCACTGTTGTGTCGTCGGCAAACTTAATGATGGTGTTGGAGTCGTGCCTGGCCATGCAGTCATGGGTGAACAGAGAGTATAGGAGGGGACTGAGCATGCACCCTTGAGGGGCCCCCGTGTTGAGGATCAGTGTGGCAAATGTGTTGTTACCTACCCTTACCACCTGGGGGCGGCCCGTCAGGAAGTCCAGGATCCAGTTGCAGAGGGAGGTGTTTAGTCCCAGGATCCTTAGCTTAGTGATGAGCTTAGAGGGCACTATGGTGTTGAATGCTGAGCTGTAGTCAATGAATAGCATTCTCACGTAGGTGTTCCTCTTGTCCAGGTGGGAAAGGGCAGTGTGGAGTGCAATAGAGATTGCATCATCTGTGGATCTGTTGGGGCGGTATGCAAATTGGAGTGGGTCTAGGGTTTCTGGGATAATGCTGTTGATGTGGGCAAACGTACAAAAGTGTGCAAACGTACAAAATTAGCAGGGGATCAAATACTTTTTTCCCTCACTGTATGCTTGGGGTCATTGTCCATTTGGAAGATCCATTTGCGACCAAGCTTTAACTTCCTGACTGATGTATTGAGATGTTGCTTCAATATATCCACATCATTTTCCTTCCTCATGATGCCATCTATTTTGTGAAGTGCACCAGTCCCTCCTGCAGCAAAGCACCCCCACAGCATGATGCTGCCACCCCCGTGCTTCACGTTTGGGATGGTGTTCTTCAGCTTGCAAGCATCCCCCTTTTTCCTCCAAACATAACAATGGTCATTATGGCCAAATAGTTCTATTTTTGTTTCATCAGACCAGAGGACAGTTCTCCAAAAAGTATGATTTTTGTCCCCATGTGCAGTTGCAAACCGTAGAGTGGCTTTTTTATGGCAGTTTTGGAGCAGTGGCTTCTTCCTGCTGAGCGGCCTTTCAGGTTATGTCGATATAGGACTCGTTTTACTGTGGATATAGATACTTTTGTACCTGTTTCCTCCAGCATCTTCACAAGGTCCTTTGCTGTTGTTCTGGGATTGATTTGCACTTTTCGCACCAAAGTACGTTCATCTCTAGGAGACAGAACGCGTCTCCTTCCTGAGCGGTATGACGGCTGCGTGGTCCCATGGTGTTTATACTTGCGTACTATTGTTTGTACAGATGAACGTGGTACCTTCAGGCGTTTGGAAATTGCTCCCAAGGATGAACCAGACTTGTGGAGTTCTACAATGTTTTTTCTGAGGTCTTGGCTGATTTCTTTTGATTTTCCCATGATGTCAAGCAAAGATGCACTGAGTTTGAAGGTAGGCCTTGAAATACATCCACAGGTACACCTCCAATTGACTCAAATGATGTCAATTAGCCTATCAGAAGCTTCTAAAGCCATGACATCATTTTCTGTAATTTTCCAAGCTGTTGAAAGGCACAGTCAACTTAGTGTATGTAAACTTCTGACCCACTGATACAGTGAATTATATGTGAAATAATCTGTCTGTAAACAATTGTTTTGTGTCATGCACAAAGTAGATGTCCTAACCGACTTGCCAAAACTATAGTTTGTTAACAAGACATTTGTGGAGTGGTTGAAAAATTAGTTTTAATGACTCCAACCTAAGTGTATGTAAACTTCCGACTTCAATTGTAATTGTTCACCTCAAGGTTCAGCTGTCCCAGATTTGAGCACTAAATGCTGCAGGGAATTGTGTGCATTGGCCTATAGGGAAAGGGAAAAGGGGATACCTAGTCAGTTGTACAACTGAATGCATTCAACTGAAATGTGTCTTCCGCATTTAACCCAACCCCTCTGAATCAGGCTTAGGTGTCCACTGTATTATATTCATATTAAAAAATATATATATATATATTAAGGAGGAGAAGCCTAGGCCTAGCCCCACAGATATGTCGGTGGCATGCGATACCAACATTAATTTCTTTATACTTGTCAGATAGGCTATACTTTAGGTGTACAGAAGGAGGCCTTTTCGTTCATTTTCTATTCAAATATTTTTTTTATAAAGATAAGCATTATATTGTTACATTATAGTAGTAACTCTGGTAGGCCTAAAACATTCTTCTTAATGTCGGAGTCAGTTGGAGCACCGGTGCGCACTGCCTTCATATCATAGGCCTGCAGTATAATAGGCTAATAACCACACCACAGCAAACCTTCACAAAAGTTTCTCAACTCTATTAGGGTAATAGCAAAAGTAAATCAAGCCATTGTTTATAGGGAAAATACGAGCAGGATATTATATTGCGGCAAACACAACATTACAGTTGCAACTTAATTCGGCGAAAGAAAATGGCTCAACAGAATCAAACAAAATACTGGTTTAAACCTTCACAAAAGTTTTGAACAGGCTATATTGCAGCAATTACCAAGAAAGGCTAATGTCTACCATACCCAACAAATGAGTGCAATGGGCTGATTATATTTATTTTACAACAGGCCTCCTTATAAACTATTTTACACTAATTTTACACTAAATATGGAGCACACAATTAAAAAGACAAATTTAATTTAATTTAGCCAATGAAAATGTCTCAACAGAATGAAACAAAACATGTTTTGCATATTTAAAGAACTGGTTTAGATTAATAAATAGGCCTACAATAATAACAATAACAGACAATAATAATAATGATAAAACAAATTATTGTAAATAAATACATTAAAGTTCCAAAATTGCATCCTACTCGAATAGTGAGTTGCACAGTAGCCTGCATTTGACCGCACCAACATTCTTCTCATCTTTGTCCACTACAATATTAACAATTGTCCATACAGAGGACATTCCCCTTGTAACAGAGCTCTAGACTAACATGTTCCCCTGGTGGCACTGGTGCCACTAATTCTTTCAGTTGGTGGCACCAGCCCATCATTTGGTCGGACCAAGTAATTCACAGTGCTTTATTAAAAAGTGTAATAGACTACTGAGATGTTATTGAACAAATTAGTTGGTCACAGTCTGGAGCCCTGCCTTGTAGGCTTTTCACTATAGGCATACGCTCAAACTTTTGTTTCACTTCAATGAAAAGGCCTCCATCTTCGCAATCAACAGTAGCCTTGGCCAAGGCTCCTCTGTCTCTCTCTCTCTCTCTCTCTCTCTCTCTCTTTCTCTCTCTCGCTCTCTCTCTCTCTCTACTCAGCAGCATGGCAGCCCCGGACAATTTGGCCAGCTGCAATTTTATTTATCAGCTTTTCATTTATTTTATCGGCCCGAAGCCGCCAATTACCGGCTAACGGAAACCGTGGAGTGCGTGTGTGTAATGATATGTAACTGTGTCTCTCTCCCTGCAGGCCAGGCGGTGACGTTCACAAGACAGTTCCTTCTCAGCCCCACAGCTGGTCGTAGACCAAGAGTTCCTGGCGTGGTGGTGATCATTGCAGACAGAAAATCGTCCGACAACGTCACTGTCCCAGCGAGTGCTGTCAAAGCCTCAGGTAGCCTCACACAGACTGTATAGAAAGCACTAACACACAAGCAGATATACAGCACCTGCACATCTCTACCTAATGAAATCTGCTACAATAATTTTTATCCCCACAGTCCCTTGTCACTCACTATGTTTTAAACTAAAATGTTGTACAATAAATAAATAAATACAATTCCCAATATTTCCATGACCATGTGTGTGTGTCTATCAGGTGTGACAGTGCTGGCGGTGGGTATAGGTCGAGCGGACTCTGAGGAACTGCGCCAGGCGGTGACAGATGGCAGCACCCAGAACCTCCTATATGCTCGTGATGCCACCCAGCTTGGCACCCTGCACGCCGACCTGGCTGACCTGCTGTGTGGCGTCGCCAGGATACCAGAGGGAGGGGTGAGATAAGAGGGGAAAAGGTGGTGGGGAGGTGAGGTGAGCGAGAGAGAGAGAGAGAGAGAAAAAGAGAGAGAGAGATTAGAAGACGGACCATCCTGTATATCCCATGATATTGCTGTCAATGCTGTCAATGTACGCTCTCCCAGTCAGTCAGTGAATCATTGCCAGGGACTCAGTGACAACAATAATAATAATAATATAATAATATGCCATTTAGAAGACGCTTTTATCCAAAGCGACTTACAGTCATGTGCGCATACATTTTTACGTATGGGTGGTCCCGCGGATCGAACCCACTACCCTGGCGTTACAAGCGCCATGCTCTACCAATTGAGCTACAGAGGACGAATATGGTGGAGTGCTCTGGGTCTTAGTGTGTATGTTGTTGTTTTCTATATCAGGGCCCAGTGGCAGAGCCGTGTACCATACAGTGTCCTCGGGTGAGTTACTGTACTGTTCCTCATCCATCCACAGCCATCATTACACTATCACCATTCCTTTCAACTTGTGTGTGCTCTCCTTTTCATCCCTCTTTCCCTCTTTGCCCTGCTCTCGCTCATATCTGTTCATTTTACTCTCTCTAGGGTGATCGGGGGGAGCGAGGAGAAAAGGTAACAATTGAATGGTTTTAATACCATGCTCTGTAATGTGGTCTTGGAAGCTCTATGGTCAGTAGTTGTATCAGTTTTCCTGAAAAGTTACTGACCCTCTGCTACAGGGAGAGAGAGGAAGAGACGGTACTGACGGACGCAAAGGAGAGCCGGTGAGTCCTTCACCACTGAATATTGATCTGTAACTGGTAGCTCAAACATTAGCGTCTACTTATCATTCACTGAGATATTTAATTGTGTGTGTGTGTTCCAGGGTCGTGATGGTTTGCCTGGCAGGGAGGGCCCCAGGGGGCCTGAGGGGCGACAGGGTCTGCCTGGCGGGAGTGAGGCCCCCTCAGTTGGGGTCAGAGGGGAGAAGGGGGAGAGGGTGAGTACATACACATAAACACTTATACTCAACACTAGTACTGTTGTACTGTTCTGCTGTATTTACTGTTGTTCTCTCTTCAGGGTTTTCCTGGTCTGGATGGGGGTCCAGGGTTGCCAGGGCGACCAGGGACCCCGGGCCCTGCAGGAGTACCGGTGAGTAGTCAGGGACCACAATCACAGCCAGGGCCAGTCCCAATGTGTTAATATAAAACCCAATAACACATGTTGTTATCCTGATGTTCTTATAAGTTGTAAATGGCCAAGTAAGCTTTGTGCAAGCCAGAACGGCTCATAGGAGCAGGAGCCTATCTCCTGTTTCTGTAGCGTGAGGCAGCACACCCCCTGGACAGGACGCTAGTCTATCGCAGTAACAACTCTCTTCCAATCCATCTCCTTAATGCTGAGTGCCAAGCAGAGAGAGCAGCTGGTTCAATTTTTTTGAGCTATTGGAATGACTCGACCAGGGATTGAACCCCCAACCTTTTAATCTCAGGGCGGACACTCTAACAACAATGCCGCTGAGTTGGTCCAACTTGCTTTAGACGTGGTTTAACAACAGATGTTTTGCTATTTTGTCTTTTTCAGGGTTCACAGGGGCTACCGGGTATCAGAGGAGATCCTGTAAGTATCCCTCAGCAATGCCTATGTGATCTGTATCTAGCACTTATGTGTGTGTTTACAGTATGTGTGTTGTTGTATTATCAAGTTAGATTTTTTATGTTTTCTCTGTGGCAGGGTGATCCTGGGGTTAAAGGAGCACCAGGGACAAAGGGTGACAGGGGCGACAGGGTGAGTACAGTACACCTCTTTATCCTCAGTACACTATACGTTGTATGTCATCCCATCTGCTGTTTGTATGTTCGATGTTCACTAAGCTGGTTCTTTGCTGGTGTTCCAGGGTGAGCCAGGGTCGGCTGTTTCAGGAGGAGGTCTGCCTGGGAGGAAAGGAGAACCAGGGATCCCAGGAATACCAGTGAGACAGACACACACACACAGCCAGATATTCTCTTCAGTTGAATGAATTCTTAGTGATGATGAATTATATTTTCTCTGTTACCCAGGGTACCGCAGGGCGTCCAGGAACTGACGGGGCCAAGGGCTTTGTGGGACCTGCAGGGACCCCAGGACAAGACGGTCGCCCCGGGATACCAGGCACCCCTGGCATCTCCATCAAGGTCAGTTACCCTGGTCTGGTCTGGCCCTCGATACACTAACTAGTGAACAGACCACATTGGGGAGAAAGACACTAATTAAAGTAGCCTGTAACCTGTATGTATACTGTGAATATCAAGAGTGGACACATGGGGTTGGAAGAGAGTTGTTACTCATTTCGCAGGCACCTCATCAGTTCAGGTTCAATTCAAGTTGCTCCCAAAAACATGCCCCCTTTTCAAAAGTGCTAGATTGTTCGAACTTCGTGTGATGGAAGTGCTGTGAGGGATGTTCATACATCGTTTACTTCCTCTTTTAAAATATATCCTAACCTTGAGAATAACCCCCAACAGTCTGTCTGTGATATGATAATGTGGGAAACGAAAACATGATTAGATTAGATTAGATTTCTATGTTCTTTCCATGTGTCATCTAAAAATGATTGGTTCTGTTGAGATGTATAAGAGTGACCTTACGAACCTTTCTCTCTCTTTTAATATCTCTGTCATCCTCCTCTGTATAATTTTCCACCTGATCATGCCCTTCCATCGGTTTCCATGACAACCAGTATCTTCAGACTTAGAGAGGCCTTGATGTTTCGTCATAGTGCAGTAGACAGTCAGTGTGCATGTGTGCGTGTGCGTGTGTGTGTGTGTGTGTGTGTGCGTGTCTGGGAGTCAAATGTATTCCTATACTGGGATGTATGACAGTGTCTGCGGAACAACAAAGCTCAATCACTAATCATTCCTTTCTTTCTCTCTCTCTCTCTCTCTCTCTCTCTCTCTCTCTCTCTCTCTCTCTCTCTCTCTCTCTCTCTCTCTCTCTCTCTCTCTCTCTCTCTCTCTCTCTCTCTCTCTCTCCTTTTAGGGAGACAAGGGCAGCACCGGCGAGAGGGTGAGTCATCCAGTGCTGTCCGCAGCTTGTCTTGTAGATTCATTGCAGATATCTCTGTAAGAATGATAAGAGGATAATGATTGTCACATCTCTTTTATCTCTCTCTGTCTGTGTGTCTGTCTGTCCTGCTGACAGGGACCTCCAGGAGTGGGCAGTGGCTCGGCTGTAAAGGGGGAGAAGGGATCACCGGTAAGATCTGTCAATCACTGGACATGTGTCATTTGTGTGTCTTTGTGTATGTGTGTCTGCATTTGTATCGTGCAGATCTCTGGGGTGATAATTATACTGTCTAGGGCTGCTACGCTGACCGTATTACCGCCACACCGGCAGTCACCAGTCATGACCACAGTCAAATTCCACGTGACATGACCGTTGAGTCACAGTAACTAGGCTTCTCCAAAACTGTGCTCTTATGCTGCTGATGGTCGTGAGAAGCCTACCAAACTTGCTAACGGCCAGTCGCTAATGGCCTGGTACTCTGCCCTCTATTGTCCCTCTAATCACTATGACATCAATGCAAATGGTTCGAAAATCAAATCGAACATTTCATGGGAGCCCTGGCATTCAGAGTTTGAGCGGAATAGGATCACCTGTTGCGCAGCGAGAGCCAGCTCCTCATAGTTGGTTGATGCATGGAATGAAATAATTGTTCCTGGAAGCCCATGTTGCGCAAAATGTCTATAGACTATGCTATGCAATTGCGAGAGAAAATAGTTTTTCTATTAAAAAAAGGAGGTTCCCATCAGCTTTCTATTGGCTAGGCCTACTATATTTATTCCTCAAGTTTCCTAATATGAAGTACAGTGAGGGAAAAAAGTATTTGATCCCTGCTGATTTTGTACGTTTGCCCACTGACAAAGACATGATCAGTCTATAATTTTAATGGTAGGTTTATTTGAACAGTGAGAGACAGAATAACAACAACAAAATCCAGAAAAACGCATGTCAAAAATGTTATAAATTGATTTGCATTTGAATGAGGGAAATAAGTATTTGACCCCTCTGCAAAACATGACTTAGTACTTGGTGGCAAAACCCTTGTTGGCAATCACACTGGTCAGACGTTTCTTGTAGTTGGCCACCAGGTTTGCACACATCTCAGGAGGGATTTTGTCCCACTCCTCTTTGCAGATCTTCTCCAAGTCATTAAGGTTTCAAGGCTGAAGTTTGGCAACTCGAACCTTCAGCTCCCTCCACAGATTTTCTATGGGATTAAGGTCTGGAGACTGGCTAGGCCACTCCAGGACCTTAATGTGCTTCTTCTTGAGCCACTCCTTTGTTGCCTTGGCTGTGTGTTTTGGGTCATTGTCATGCTGGAATACCCATCCACGACCCATTTTCAATGCCCTGGCTGAGGGAAGGAGGTTCTCACCCAAGATTTGACGGTATATGGCCCCGTCCATCGTCCCTTGATGTGGTGAAGTTGTCCTGTCCCCTTAGCAGAAAAACACAGCCAAAGCATAATGTTTCCACCTCCATGTTTGACGGTGGGGATGGTGTTCTTGGGGTCATAGGCAGCATTCTTCCTCCTCCAAACACGCTGAGTTGAGTTGATGCCAAAGAGCTCGATTTTGGTCTCATCTGACCACAACACTTTCACCCAGTTCTCCTCTGAATCATTCAGATGTTCATTGGCAAACTTCAGACGGGCCTGTATATGTGCTTTCTTGAGCAGGGGGACCTTGCGGGCGCTGCAGGATTTCAGTCCTTCACGGCGTAGTCTGTTACCAATTGTTTTCTTGGTGACTATGGTCCCAGCTGCCTTGAGATCATTGACAAGATCCTCCCGTGTAGTTCTGGGCTGATTCCTCACCGTTCTCATGATCATTGCAACTCCACGAGGTGAGATCTTGCATGGAGCCCCAGGCCGAGGGAGATTGACAGGTCTTTTGTGTTTCTTCCATTTGCGAATAATCGCACCAACTGTTGTCACCTTCTCACCAAGCAGCTTGGCGATGGTCTTGTAGCCCATTCCAGCCTTGTGTAGGTCTACAATCTTGTCCCTGACATCCTTGGAGAGCTCTTTGGACTTGGCCATGGTGGAGTTTGGAATCTGATTGATTGATTGCTTCTGTGGACAGGTGTCTTTTATACAGGTAACAAACTGAGATTAGGAGCATTCCCTTTAAGAGTGTGCTCCTAATCTCAGCTCGTTACCTGTTTAAAAGACACTTGGGAGCCAGAAATCTTTCTGATTGAGAGGGGGTCAAATACTTATTTCCCTCATTAAAATGCAAATCAATTTATAACATTTTTGACATGCTTTTTTCTGAATTTTGTTGTTGTTATTCTGTCTCTCACTGTTCAAATAAACCTACCATTAAAATTATAGACTGATCATTTCTTTTTCAGTGGGCAAACGTACAAAATCAGCAGGGGATCAAATAATGTTTTCCCTCACTGTACATTGCTTTGCTTTACAACCGGAGTAGCCTACCTGGCTGGCATGAAAATGAACCGCGGGAAAAGTGTCCTCTATTTGCTATTCAAGTGCATACGGATGACGTCTTTTTTTCCCCTGCCCCTGTTTCGACAGGTGCATGATAATGGCCCATTCTAAATCAAAACTAATTTCACATATATATTATTTAGTATATGTAAAGACTAGATTAAATTAAGAATAGTCTGATGGGTGAGAATATGATCACTTGTGAATGATGCCCAGCGTATGCATTCTAAGGCAAGAAACAGCAATGCATTTTTGTTTTACTTTTTCAAATCAATCATGTCTCTCTATTATGGGTGGGAATACTTGGGAACAGATTTCTTAAATTAAAATTACTTGCAGCTGATTTCCTGGTGTTTTTACAGTCTTTTATGTGCAACAATAAAAAATAAAGAAATCATATTTTATCGTTTTGCACATAAAACTTGAGGGGCCAAATAAAACCACCCACAGGCCAAATTCGGCCCACGGGCCGCCAGTTGGGGAACCCTGCTATAGGCCTAGGACCCCTTGAAAAGGGTTGGAGAGCCCATAGCCTACAGAGCCTAGTGAAACATGTGTTCTTATAAGCCCAGTCATCACGTGTGGCCACTATTTCAAAGAGGATCCCAGCTTTCTCGTGCTGCTATATTTATTGCTTAATTCTTAAAATTGAGCACATTAATCCGCTTTACAAATGGTGTAGCCCACCTAGCATATTAAAAATGTAAGTGCTCGAAGCACTTCCTCCATTCGCTATTCGAGTGCAGGCTTTTTTTTTGTGGGCCATTCTAAATAAAAAAGTATTCCAACTGTACACTGAGTGTACTAAACATTATGAACACCTGCTCTTTCCATGACATAGACTGACCAGGTGAATCCAGGTGAAAGCTATGATCCCTTATTGATGTCACTTGTTAAATCCACTTCAATCAGTGTAGATGAAGGGGAGGAGTCAGGTTAAAGAAGGATTTTAAGCCTTGAGAAAATTGAGACATGGATTGTGTATGTGTGTCATTTAGAGGGTAATTGGGCACGACAAAATATTTAAGTGCCTTTGAACTGGGTATGGTAGTAGGTGCCAGGTGCACCGGTTTGTGTCAAGAACTGCAATGCTGCTGGGTTTTTCACGCTCAACAGTTTTCCGTGTGTATCAAGAATGGTCCACCACCCAAAAGACATCCAGCCAACTTGACACAACTGTGGGAAGCGTTGGAGTCCACATGGGCCATCATCCCTGTGGAATGCTTTCGACACCTTGTAGAGTCCATGCCCCGACGAATTGAGGCTGTTCTATTTCTATTTTATTCATCTATGTTCAATTGTATTCTTCTTACTATAAAATAATATAAAATAATGCTACGAGACTTATAAGGAAATCTTGTCTGCTAAATTAACTAGTGTAGCCCACAGCCATATGGCATAGCCAGATCAGGGCCTAACATACTGTAAGGACGACTCAGAATATGCTAATCTGTTCTTCATATCATAATGTTTCTTTAGACCTGCATAAACTAAATAATGGATTTGTTTTGATGGTGTAGGCTATATTAAATAGATTTATTAGACTTTTTAAAATTCCAAAGATCCGCATCAGTGGCTTGTAGGCTATGCATGGAGGCCTGGAGATGCTAAACATTTTGATGTTAATTAACAGTCAATTACTGTGAGACCGGCAGTTATCTGCATTACCGGCTGACATTTCATGACCGCCACAGCCCTATACATGTTTTTTAGTCATTTAGCAGACGCTCTTATCCAGAGCGACTTACAGTTGGTGAACACATTTTTTTTAAATTCTTTTTTTAATATACTGGCCCCCCATGGGAATCGAACCCACAACCCTGGCGTTGCAAACGCCATGCTCTATCAACTGAGCTACATCCCTGCCGGCCATTCCCTCCCCTACCCTGGACGACGCTGGGCCAATTGTGCGCCACCTCATGGGTCTCCCGGTCGCGGCCGGCTGCGACAGAGCCTGGATTCGAACCAGGATCTCTAGTGGCACAGTTTGCACTGCGATGCAGTGCCTTAGACCACTGCGCCACTCAGGAGAGTCTATGTTTTGATGTGTGTGTTAGGTGTGTGTGTGTGTGTGGGTTACCATAATTTATGTATTTTGTTGGTTTCAGGGGTCTGATGGAAACCCAGGAGCTCAAGGTCCCAGAGGATTTACAGGACAACAGGGAGCCAAAGGAGACAAGGTTGGTACTGTGTGTGTGTGTGTGTGTGTGTGTGTGTGTGTGTGTGTGTGTGTGTGTGTGTGTGAAAGAGAGAAAGTGTGTACTGAGTTTTTTTTTTTATGTTTCAGGGAGAGAGTGCCGAGGGGTTGCCAGGACCAGCTGGGAAGGCAGGAGAGCCTGGTGATCGGGTAGGACTCACATACATACAGTGGGGGGAAAAAAGTATTTAGTCAGCCACCAATTGTGTAAGTTCTCCCACTTAAAAAGATGAGAGAGGCCTGTAATTTTCATCATAGGTACACGTCAACTATGACAGACAAAATGAGAAAAAAAATCCAGAAAATCACATTGTAGGATTTTTTATGAATTTATTTGCAAATTATGGTGGAAAATAAGTATTTGGTCACCTACAAACAAGCAAGATTTCTGGCTCTCACAGACCTGTAACTTCTTCTTTAAGAGGCTCCTCTGTCCTCCACTCGTTACCTGTATTAATGGCACCTGTTTGCACTTGTTATCAGTATAAAATACACCTGTCCACAACCTCAAACAGTCACACTCCAAACTCCACTATGACCAAGACCAAAGAGCTGTCAAAGGACACCAGAAACAAAATTGTAGACCTGCACCAGGCTGGGAAGACTGAATCTGCAATAGGTAAGCAGCTTGGTTTGAAGAAATCAACTGTGGGAGCAATTATTAGGAAATGGAAGACATACAAGACCACTGATAACCTCCCTCGATCTGGGGCTCCACGCAAGATCTCACCCCGTGGGGTCAAAATGATCACAAGAACGGTGAGCAAAAATCCCAGAACCACACGGGGGGACCTAGTGAATGACCTGCAGAGAGCTGGGACCAAAGTAACAAAGCCTACCATCAGTAACACACTACGCCGCCAGGGACTCAAATGCTGCAGTGCCAGACGTGTCCCCCTGCTTAAGCCAGTACATGTCCAGGCCCGTCTGAAGTTTGCTAGAGTGCATTTGGATGATCCAGAAGAGGATTGGGAGAATGTCATATGGTCAGATGAAACCAAAATATAACTTTTTGGTAAAAACTCAACTCGTCGTGTTTGGAGGACAAAGAATGCTCAGTTGCATCCAAAGAACACCATACCTACTGTGAAGCATGGGGGTGGAAACATCATGCTTTGGGGCTGTTTTTCTGCAAAGGGACCAGGACGACTGATCCGTGTAAAGGAAAGAATGAATGGGGCCATGTATCGTGAGATTTTGAGTGAAAACCTCCTTCCATCAGCAAGGGCATTGAAGATGAAACGTGGCTGGGTCTTTCAGCATGACAATGATCCCAAACACACCGCCCGGGCAACGAAGGAGTGGCTTCGTAAGAAGCATTTCAAGGTCCTGGAGTGGCCTAGCCAGTCTCCAGATCTCAACCCCATAGAAAATCTTTGGAGGGAGTTGAAAGTCTGTGTTGCCCAGCGACAGCCCCAAAACATCACTGCTCTAGAGGAGATCTGCATGGAGGAATGGACGAAAATACCAGCAACAGTTTGTGAAAACCTTGTGAAGACTTACAGAAAACGTTTGACCTGTGTCATTGCCAACAAAGGGTATATAACAAAGTATTGAGAAACTTTTGTTATTGACCAAATACTTATTTCCCACCATAATTTGCAAATAAATTCATTAAAAATTAAAAAAAAATCTCATTTTGTCAGTCATAGTTGACGTGTACCTATGATGAAAATTACAGGCCTCTCTCATCTTTTTAAGTGGGAGAACTTGCACAATTGGTGGCTGACTAAATACTTTTTTCCCCCACTGTACATATCTGTTACTGTGAAATGAAGGACATACTCAAGTCATGTACAGTATATTCCAACAGTCCTGTATTTGTGTGATTTAGGGTCCCCGTGGGCCTGCTGGAGGCCTTGGAGTCAAGGTAAGACAATACAAAACATTAGATAAAATCTCCATATTTGGAACTAGAATGAATGATACAATTGATATTTGGGTGGATGCATGGATGGATGGATGGATGACCCTGCTCTCTCTGTCTTCTCAGGGGGACCGTGGCCAGCCAGGTGAGCCTGGATCACAAGGTGACAGGGTGAGTGAGGATAGAGCCCCTTTAACCCAGTTTGACTCCTGCTGTTAAATTGGTGTGTATGCTGTGGGTTGTAACTGACTGTGTTGTTTTTCCAGGGGGAGAGAGGACTTGCTGGCTTGGCAGGGGAGAGAGTGAGTACAGTACCATGCAATTGGTTATGCCTCTTTTCACTGTGACCTTGTTCGTGACCATGAAGCTAGATATTGTACAGCTACAGTGTATGAATATCACATTTGTTTTACATGTTCATGTGTTCACTAGTATTCATCCTCACTCACTCACTTATCCTACTCCTACACTGAACCGAATCCATAAGTATTAGCATGAAGGTCACAGGTATTGGAAAAGCCTGCTGAGCCGTGTCATGCAGTGTGTTGTCCTGACCACAATGTGGCGCTGTGTGTTTCAGGGGGAAGACAGGACAGCCAGGCTCTACAGGGGCTCCAGGCCTGAGGGTGAGTAACTATCAGTGGTGGAAAAAGTACTCAATGGTCATACTTGAGTAAAAGTAAAGATACCTTAATAGAAAATGACTCAAGTAAAAATACTCCTTGAGTAAAAGTCTAAAAGTATTTGGTTTTAAATATACTTAAGTATTAAAAGTAAATGGAATTGCTAAAATGTACTTAAGTATCAAAAGTAAAAGTAAAAGCATAAACCATTTCAAATTCCTTATTTTAAGCAAACCAGAATTTTTTTTTTTTAATGTACGGATAGCCAGGGGCACACTCCAACACTCAGACATAATTTACAAATGAAGCATTTGTGTTTAGTGAGTCCACCAGATCAGAGGCAGTAGGGATGACCAGGGATGTTATCTTGATAAGTGTGTGAATTGGACCATTTTCCTGCCAAAATGTAACGAGTACTTTTGGGTGTCAGGGAAAATATATGGAGTAAAAAGTACATTATTTTCTTTAGGAATGTAGTGAAGTAAAAGTAAAAGTTGGCAAAAATATAAATAGTGAAGTAAAGTACAGATACCCCCAAAAAATAGTTAAGTAGTACTTTAAAGTATTTTTACTTAAGTACTTTACACCACTGGTAACTATGTCTTACTGTACCTCTATTGGTCTCTCTCTCTTCGTGACATATTTGGGTCATCTTCACACCATGACCCACCACTATTGATTAATGTCATTTAGGTATAGGATTTGATTATACATGCTACTGCTTTAGAGAATTGTGATATTTTATCACCATGTGTGAGTGTGTGAGTCATGTGTGTGTATGTGAGTTAGTCTGTGTTGATTTGCTTGCAGGGTTTGCCTGGCACCAGTGGACTACCAGGGGAGAAGGTGAGGCTAATGCAGTCTGACTTACTCTTTGATCAATCGAAGTGAATCTCCACAAAATAAACATGACTGTAATCACAACAATGACATCAACTAAACAAAGGTGAACATCAGATAAAAACACCCTAACCTGTATGTTTCCAGGGCAGTGAGGGCGCCAAGGGAGAACCTGGCCGGAGTGTGAGTCACCTCATAGCCACATGCTATATTTTGATGCCTCATGGTTAGATAGACCGATATGATTTATTTTACATGGATTTTGATGGAAGCAATTTACTATACAGTTATTGAGAAGGAAGAGATCAGGATTGGTCAGTATTGGTCAATGTGATGATATTTCCTCCTCTGTATCATTCTACACATCCAGGGGCCAGGCTTAGGTGGGAAGAAAGGTGAACAGGCAAGTTGCCCACTTTTATGTCCTCATACTGCACATCTCCATATCAATGGTTGATATGTTGATGTACTGTAGACAGTAACAACACTTTCTCCATAGACTCATGCTCTCTTCCCCCTCTCCTCTCCTCTCTCAGGGTGAGACAGGTCTGCCAGGTCCGGAGGGGCCCAGGGGTCAGAAAGGAGAGCCAGCCCAGAAAGGTGAAAAAGTGAGTTGGTACCCACAGGGTACATGATGGTGCACTGCATGAAACTGGCACTGCATGCCCTTGTGTGGTGTGTGTGGCATGCGTGTGTGTGTGTATAGGTGATTTAATGATGCTCTCTATGCAAGCGGGTATAGATGTTTTCTGCTGTTCTTCTCTCTTTATGCTCTCACTGTTTCTCATTCTCTAATTTTCCCCTCTCCTCTTGCGTTCTTCCAGGGTCCCCCAGGTGCTGGCACTCCTGGCCAGGCTGGACCTAAAGGAGAGCAGGGGGATCGGGTGAGTTCAGACCAAGCTGTGGTCATGTATCAATCTTTATCTAAGCTACAAACCAAATGTCTTTGATACATGTGCAGAAAGCCTCAGAGGTACAGTATATATTGTAAAGTATATATATATTATTCATTGAGCTTCCCTGTGTAGCTGCTGACAGATGCTCTGCCCGTAGGCCATGTCCTACACACTCAGACTGACATGTTATTTTCCCTCTAGGGACTCCCTGGCTTAGCTGGAAGACTGGGGACCAAGGTGAGTCATGTGCCTAGAGTGGCTTTTGTTCTTTTATTTTAACTTCTATTTAGTGTTTATGTTGCAACAGTGTTGTTGTCTCATAAAGTAACTTGTAAGTAATTATTATCTTTCTTATAGTAAAACTCTTGTGTCATGTGAGTCCAGCTGATCTCAATGTGTACCTTTTGGTGTTGTAGGGAGACCCAGGTGACCCAGGAGAGAGAGGGGAGACAGGACGAGCCGGACCCGGAGGAAAGAATGGCCTCCCAGGGAAAGAGGTCTGAGACACTACCACTCTGACCCTGGAGCTTTTCACCTCTGCATGTTATACTATCACTCACCCACTGCAATAACCCCTGTGACCTGTTTCAGTACTGGTCACTCACTGCACTAACAACCTGTTATCACTCTATTACTACTACTCTGTTATAACTATGCTACTATTATGTTATAGCTATTGTTTTTTCTCTTCACTACTGGGTCATTACCGTGTTACTTCTACACGGTTATTTCTGCAGTTCAGTCAACCTACATTTATTCAATACTGTACCACCGAAGGGAATGAATGTCATACTGCCATTCCAGTGCAACTAATTACTGTACTAATACAGTGTGTCTATTCTGACCTCTTTGTTGTGTAAGTGTTGTTATGAATACCTAACCAGTCCTTTCTATCTCTCTCCCCTGCCCCTCATACCCTGATTCCACTAGAGGTACATCACTAATGACTTACTGCAACTACAGTGAGGGAAAAAAGTATTTGATCCCCTGCTGATTTTGTACGTTTGCCCACTGACAAAGACATGATCAGTCTATAATTTTTATGGTAGGTTTATTTGAACAGTGAGAGACAGAATAACAACAAAAAAATCCAGAAAACGCATGTAAAAACTGTTATAAATTGATTTGCATTTTAATGAGGGAAATAAGTATTTGACCCCTCTCAATCAGAAAGATTTCTGGCTCCCAGGTGTCTTTTATACAGGTAACGAGCTGAGATTAGGAGAACACTCTTAAAGGGAGTGCTCCTAATCTCAGTTTGTTACCTGTATAAAAGACACCTGTCCACAGAAGCAATCAATCAATCAGATTCCAAACTCTCCACCATGGCCAAGACCAAAGAGCTCTCCAAGGATGTCAGGGACAAGATTGTAGACCTACACAAGACTGGAATGGGCTACAAGACCACCGCCAAGCAGCTTGGTGAGAAGGTGACAACAGTTGGTATGATTATTCGCAAATGGAAGAAACAAAAAAGAACTGTCAATCTCCCTCGGCCTGGGGCTCCATGCAAGAGCTCACCTCGTGGAGTTGCAATGATCATGAGAACGGTGAGGAATCAGCCCAGAACTACACGGGAGGATCTTGTCAATGGTCTCAAGGCAGCTGGGACCATAGTCACCAAGAAAACAATTGGTAAAACACTACGCCGTGAAAGACTGAAATCATGCAGCGCCCGCAAGGTCCCCCTGCTCAAGAAAGCACATATACAGGCCCGTCTGAAGTTTGCCAATGAACATCTGAATGATTCAGAGGAGAACTGGGTGAAAGTGTTGTGGTCAGATGAGACCAAAATCGAGCTCTTTGGCATCAACTCAACTCAGCGTGTTTGGAAGAGGAGGAATGCTGCCTATGACCCCAAGAACACCATCCCCACCGTCAAACATGGAGGTGGAAACATTATGCTTTGGCTGTGTTTTTCTGCTAAGGGGACAGGACAACTTCACCGCATCAAAGGGACAATGAACAGGGCCATGTACCGTCAAATCTTGGGTGAGAACCTCCTTCCCTCAGCCAGGGCATTGAAAATGGGTTGTGGATGGGTATTCTAGCATGACAATGACCCAAAACACACGGCCAAGGCAACAAAGGAGTGGCTCAAGAAGAAGCACATTAAGGTCCTGGAGTGGCCTAGCCAGTCTCCAGACCTTAATCCCATAGAAAATCTGTGGAGGGAGCTGAAGGTTCGAGTTGCCAAACTTCAGCCTTGAAACCTTAATGACTTGGAGAAGATCTGCAAAGAGGAGTGGGACAAAATCCCTCCTGAGATGTGTGCAAACCTGGGGGCAAACTACAAGAAACGTCTGACCTCTGTGATTGCCAACAAGGGTTTTTCCACCAAGTACTTAGTCATGTTTTGCAGAGGGGTCAAATACTTATTTCCCTCATTAAAATGCAAATCAATTTATAACATTTTTGACATGCGTTTTTCTGGATTTTGTTGTTGTTATTCTGTCTCTCACTGTTTAAATAAACCAACCATTAAAATCATGGACTGATCATGTCTTCATCAGTGGGCAAACGTACAAAATTAGCAGGGGATCAAATACTTTTTTCCTTCACTGTATGCTTGGGGTCATTGTCCATTTGGAAGACCCATTTGCGACCAAGCTTTAACTTCCTGACTGAGTGGGCAAACATACAAAATCAGCAGGGGATACTTTTTTCCCTCACTGTACCTTTTGCACTAATACTAAAACAATACTACTTCTACCAACTAAGTCTACTTCAAGTCTACCGCAATCTCTTTTCTGTATATATCACTACTTTTACCATTGCCCTATGTGATGTTGTGGGGTTCTTGTTTAAAAGTTTGACGTGTTTTGACTGTGTCACTGTGGTCAGTGTGGTCTTCTCCCCCTGTGATGGAACTGAATTATGGATGACTGTTTTACAGGGTGCCAAGGGAGACAAGGGCGACGAAGGCAGTCCCGTAAGTCACAATCTCTTCATCCATCTCTCTACATCTGTTTCTCTCTCGCTCTCCCTGTCTCTCGCTCTCTCTCTATCTCTCGCTCTCTCTCGCTCTCGCGCACTCTTATCTAATTCCATCTGTTCCATTCAACGTTTTCCATGTTTGAATGACACTTCTCCTTCTCTGGCTCCCATTCTCTGTATTAGATAAAGCATGCATTAACTGAATTGGTGAATGAGAGATGTGTATCGTCATATGATTTAGTCACGCCTCAGACCCTCTTTTCATCTGACAGGAGAGTGATGGAGACTAGAGGCAATAGTCTGTTTCTATGTCTTCCTCTCCTCCTCCTCCTTCTCCCTCTTCCTCTCCTCCATCGGTCTCTCTCATCTTCTGTCTGTTCTCTCTCCTTCCACCAGGGGGAGTCTGGTCTACCAGGGAAGGCAGGGGAGAGAGGACTACGGGTGAGTAGTCATGTCTGTGTCACATACAACTATGAAACGTTAAAAGAATCCCTTTTATGCCCTCTTTTTAGAATGGTCTCGCTGTACTGTATATGGTGATTGGTCACTAATGAACCACAGGAAACCTTTCTTACATGATCTGAAGTGGATGTTTTGAGGACAGATGAAACCCTGATGAAGACAGCTTAGCTGTCGAAACGTTGGTTAAACCAATTTTTGCATGGGTGTGCAGCTTTTCCTTTTATTTTCTAAGATGTTTTCAGGACTTCCATGGTAACTAAGCACATAATCTGTGTGGTTTTGTCCCCCTTCCTTAGGGTCTGGCGGGTCAGCCTGGGCGAGCAGGGGAGAAGGGAGACCTAGGAGACTCTGGAGAGCACGGACGCAATGTAAGACACATGTTTATGTGACAAAGTGACACCCCTCTGACAGTTTGATCTGATATACTGTCTGTGTCTTCTGTGTAATAGTTATCGAGAGCGCAGAAGGCATGTGAGATGCATGTTTGTGACACCCATGAGTCTGTTAATCATTCACGTGACACACATCTGACAATCTTCAGCCTGATTGATCTGATACTGTCTGTGTCAGTATTTGTGTTGGTTACTGTGAGTAATACAGTAGCAGTGAGTCAGTTGATGTCTGTCTATAGTGACACGTGTGTCTGTGTGATCCTGTGTGTGTGTGGTGTGTGTCTTCCACAGGGAAGCCCAGGACCTATTGGACCAAGAGGAGAGAAAGGAGTTGAGGTCAGAGGTTAATCTGTTTGTTGTCTTATCTCATCTGACATAATAGTTCCAATCTGCACCGATTAACAACACTGTTTGTTGACACAATAGGGAGCTCAAGGCCCCCCAGGACCTCCAGGAAACATGGTGAGTCCTGATAAGATTCTAACTCTTTTAAAAATAATAATATAGTAATTTAGCAGAGGTCAACACATATGGCCTCTGTGGGAATCATACCAAACAAATGGTGTTACAAGTACCATACTCCAACTGAATGAACCATCAGAATCACATACCGTAGCTAGGTGGTTATCTAAAACCCACTCTACCCATATTTCTCTCTGTTTGTATCTCTCTAACTTCTACAGCGCGATACAGATAAAAAGCTTAAAGGAGAAAGAGGAGAAAAGGTATGTATTGCTGTATGAACACATTTTTGTATGTATACATTACAGCTCTCTCTCTCCCAGTTCACCTAACCTTCCAGTGTCTGACATCACCTCCTGTGTCTAGGGGGATGCTGGCGATCCGGGAGAGCATGGGGGCAAAGGTCAGAAGGGCGAGGCAGGGCCCTCAGGAGCCACTGGGCTCCGGGTGAGTAAGACCATCCTTCCAAATCTAGTATCGTTGAGAAGCTTGAGTTTCCTGGCTACTATAGTATACTGACCTGTGATGACTGTCTCTCTGTTTGTGTTCTGTGGTGTGTGTAATTCTTACCCTGTGTCTTCTCTCTGTCTCACCTGCTCTGTTGTTTGTGTGTGTAGGGACTTGAGGGACAACGTGGACCTCCAGGGGCAAGAGTAAGTCACTGTCTGTCTGTCTGTCTGCCTGTTTCTGTCTAATCACTCTATCCCTCTCTCCCCCCTCTCCATCTCACTCATTGCTCTTTCTTTCTATTTCTCCAGGGTGACACAGGAGAGAGAGGAGGCCCAGGAGAGAAGGTCTGAACAACACACACGACAGTGACTTCTCACATTCTCACACAGGCTGATTTTCAATTGGACCAATCCTGATAGGATATGGTACTCCAAACTGGCTGGTGATTGGCAGGTTGCGCTGTCCTTCATTCCACTGGATGCTGTTTCCCAGTCTGCAGATTCCCAGTGGGATGAAGCGCACTGGGGCCAGCTCACAGCATCATCACAGCCTACAGAAGCACTGAATGAGAGACACAACGTACTGCTGTATACACACATACTGTACATCCTAAAAAATACCTTACCATAGTCATTTCCAAACATTGAACTAACTCTGAGTAATGATGCTGGAGCACTGAAAGTCTGACATAGTACAGTAGAGTAGAATCCTTTGCAAATTGTATTCAGGTCCAATACAAACACAGTGCTGCTCTTTTTCTGATCATACTGTATGCATCAAGTGTGTTCCTCTCTGTAGGGTGAGAGAGGTGCGTCTGGACTGGATGGACGCAACGGTTTGGATGGCAAACCAGGAGCACCAGGACCGGCCGGCCTGAGGGTCAGTACCTCTGTCTCTGTTATTACTGCAGCTGTAACATCTCAGGGTACTCTGAGCATTACATAAACATTACTGTGTCTAGATGTATCTCAATAATTTTCCTTTGATGTTACAGGGAGACCCAGGGAAACTAGGGGATCCAGGAAGAGATGTGAGTTCCATTGATCCCTAGGCCAGAATCAACCCCTAGACTCGGGGTGCACAACCCCAGTCCCAGAGGGCTGCACTCCTGATGATTTGTGTGTTTCTCTAGCACTTTAATTAGTCTGTTAAAGTCAATGAGTGGAGCAAGGTGAAGCTGTTACCATTTGTCATATCTGATCCTTGGAGAGGTCCCATTAAGAAGTGAGAAAGGACTTCAGGCTAGTGGAGGATTCTCTATCTGTCTGGAGAATGGAGCTGGAATGTATAGTGGCCGCTTTACGGGTTTATGACCAATTCTGCTATTTTGTATTTTAAGAAATTGTGCTGATCTTAACTTTTTTTGTACGTAATGTTTCCGCCATCGCTTCCTATGACCAAAAAGAGCTTCTGGACATCAGAACAGCGATCACTAACCTCGATTTGGATGAAGATTTCTACTTCAACAAGTCGGTGGCACAGGACATACTGCTCACCCCGGACCAGGCCCTAATCCCCGACACTCAGAAGAGAAAGAGATGTCGATATAGAGGCCGATGTGTGGGCACCCTGATGAAACTAAGGCAGCGAGTAAATCAACCGCCTCGACCCTTCCCTCTGTTAATAATAATAAATAATATGCCATTTAGCAGACGCTTTTATCCAAAGCGACTTACAGTCATGCGTGCATACATTTTTTGTGTGTATGGGTGGTCCCGGGGATCGAACCCACTACCTTGGCGTTACAAGCGCCGTGCTCTACCAGCTGAGCTACAGAGGACCACTGTTCTATTGACGAATGAACAATCACTGGAGAACAAACAGGACGAGCTCGGTTTGAGACTATCCTATCAACAGGACCTGAAGAACTGTAGTATCCTATGTTTCTCGGAAACTTGACTGAACAAGGACAAGGCAACACTGAACCATGCGTGAGAGAACCAGCTGTTCCGGATGACTGTGTGATCACGCTTTCCGTAGCCGATGTGAGTAAGACCTTTAAACAGGTTAACATTCACAAGGCCGCGGGGCCAGACGGATTACCAGGACACATACTCAGAGCATGCGCTGACCAGCTGGCAAGTGTCTTCACTGATATTTTCAACCGCTCCCTGACCCAGTCTGTAATACCTACATGTTTCAAGCAGACCCCCATAGTCCCTGTGCCAAAGAACACCAAGGAAACCTGTCTAAATGACTATCACCCTGTATCACTCACATCTGTGGCCATGAAATGCTTTGAAAGGCGTGTCATGGCTCACATCAACACCATCATCCCAGACACCCTGGACCCATAGCTCCAACAGATCCACAGATGACACAATCTCTATTGCTCTCCACACTGCCATTTCCCACTTGGACAAAAGGAACCCCTACGTGAGAATGCTGTTCATTGACTACAGCTCAGTGCCCTCCAAGCTCATCATAAAGTTGAGGACCCTGGGACTGAACACCTCCCTCTGCAACTGGATCCTGGACTTCCTGACTGGACGCCCCCAGGTGGTGAGGGTAGGCAACAACATATCCACCACGCTGACCCTCAACACAGGGGCCCCTCATGGGTGCGTGCTTAGTCTCCTCCTGTACTCCCTGTTCACCCACGACTGCGTGCCCTCGCACGACTCCAACACCATCATTAAGTTTGCTGACACAACGGTGGTTGGCCTGATCACTGACGATGATGAGACAGCCTATAAGGAGGAGGTCAGAGACCTGACAGTGTGGTGCCAGGACAACAACCTCTCCCTTAACGTCAGCAAGGCAAAGGAGCTGATTGTGGACTACAGGAAATGGAGGGCCGAGCACACCTCCATTCACATGCTTTAGTGGAGCGGGTCGAGAGCTTCAAGTTCCTCGGTGTCCACATCACTAAGGATCTATCATAGTCCAAACATACCAACAAAGTCATGAAGAGGGCACGAAAATGCCTCATCCCCCTCAGGAGGCTGAAAAGATGTGGCATGGGCCCTCAGATCCTCAAAGTTCTATTGCTGCACCATTGAGAGCATCTTGACTGGCTGCATCACCACTTGGTATGGCAACTGCTTGGCATCCGACCGCAAGGCGCTACAGAAGGTAGTGTGGACGGCCCAGTACATCACTGGGGCCTCAATTACCTTGTACCCCTGCACATCGACTCGGTACTGGTACCCCTTGTATATAGCCACGTTATTGTTACTCATTGTGTATATATTATTACTTTTATTATTATGTGTTTTACTTTTCTATTATTTATTTTATTTTCTTTCTCTCTGCATTGTTGGGAAGGGCCGTACGTAAGCATTCCACTGTTAGTCCACACCTGTTATTTCTAAGCATGTGACGAATAAAATTTGATTTGCTTGGATTTAGATTTTATATCGCTCGATCTCTGTGCACTTAGTGTGTTTGAAAACTAGAGGATGCTGTGTGGTTTCAGCCCTCACCCCTCCACTCTGTTGGTCTCTCTCTCTGTCTGTCTGTCTCACCAGGGGCTGCCAGGACTGAGAGGTGCACAGGGCCTCCTAGGCCCTATTGGGCCTGTAGGAAATCCAGGCACATCTGTGAGTTTGCAACCACACACACACATGCACACACACACCCACACACAGCTAAACCCTCCAAAGCACTTGACTCATTGATGTCTCATCACCCTAATTGGTGTGTTTTAGGGCAAAGCAGGAGAAGATGGAAAACCAGGGGCTGCTGGGAAAATGGTAAGGGATCAGTCAGACCTCTAACATAGCAGGGCATTACTATACTACACACACACTACAGGCAATCATACCTGTGTTTGATTAATTACAAACTCAATGAAAACAATTATTGAATTGGATGCTATTCAGTGCTATTCATTATGAGATTTATCACCAGTGAGTCCTATGTGTCTCTGTCTATCTGTGTGTAATTACCATTAGACATGTTTGTCACATCCTCTGGTGAAAGTGCACTGATCAGATGGGAATGTGAGGCTTTTATTCCACCTGAGTGGCTGTGCTGCATAATAATTGTTGTTCGTTCCAAATGGCACCCTATTCCCTATATAGTGCACTACTTTTGAGTAGGGCCCATAGGGCTCTGGTCAAAAGTAGTGGACTATGTAGGGAATAGAGAGCCATTTGGGGGCGGTATGTCTGTTTTTTAGTGTTAAGTGAGGAGGTAATGGGATGATCAGACAAAGCCCCGGCAATACATTATCTATCTGACTGAGAGGCTCTGCTTGATACAACAGCACGTTGAGTTTTGATAAATGCGCATTTAATCGTTGTTAGTATGGTATGTTTGTTATTGTGTTGTTGTGTTTTGTAGGGCGAGGATGGCGAACCAGGGGAAGATGGCAGGAAGGTCAGTGTTGGTCACGGCACTCAGGACTATTCTGTAAACGCCCATTGCTGTGCTAATATTGCTGTTAATGTTCATTTCTAGTTAATGTGAGTGTGATAATAATGATGTTTTTCTACCTTACAGGGTGACAAAGGAGAGGCTGGGGCTGCTGGAAGAGACGTTAGTAACTTGTTACCTTGTATCTTTATCTCGCCACCCTCGTTCTCTCTCTCTCTGTCTGTACAATGTCCTTTTTTTCCTCCCCTGCTGTCTCTCTCTTCCTCTCTCTCCTTATTTCCCTCCGTCTTCATCAATCCTGCTCTCCTCGGCTCCTGAGTGTCTCTCATTATCCCTCTTCCATTCTTTTCTCGCCTTCAACTCCAGTCCGAGTGTGTGTTTATTAGGCGTACTTTACTCGGACATTGATATTACCATCACACCCTGCCTTCTCGGTGGAATCAATAGCACTCTAAGCATCAGCCTTATAAATGCAACGGTGTCTAATGATCAAGCCCTGCCTTTGAGCGCCAGCCACTTCTGATAGGGGATCCACAGGGGCACAGAATGCCAAGACTGTAGTTTCATGTGCAAATTGATATTAATCATCTCTAGGACATCAGGGAAGATGATGAGGTGGATAGGGGGATAGGGCTCACCTGCTTTGATTTCCTCCTTTCTAGTTCAGGCCAGAACCCTTAGGAGTGGAGTAGAGTGTCCGTGCTGGTCTGAAGTTGTTGTGTGCTTGTGCATTTGTTTCAGGGTCGTGACGGGCTGAAGGGAGACCGGGGCCTTGCAGGGCCTACAGGGCCAACTGGTCTATCTGGGCCCCCAGGGATCCCTGGCACCATCGGACCTCCAGGACAGGTACAGTACAGCCATATGGTTCTGCTTCCTCAAATATATGTGTGTGTCACTTGTCTATGGTGCTCTGATTATACAGTAATCTCTCTCTCCCCCCTCTCTTCTTTCTCTCAGGTGGTCTATGTGAAGGGAGCTCCAGCACCATCTATCCCTGGCCCTCAGGGGCCTCCAGGAACCCCAGTGAGTTACTATGTTGAATATGAGCTGTGCATCATAGCATAGCCCGGTGTAGCAGTACTTGTCTTTAGTATGTTACTAATCACTGATAGTGATTCCCATATCTCTGTCTCTCAGGGTGTGCCTGGAATCCCAGGGGCTGTAGGAGCCAGAGTAAGTTTGTGTCATCGTCAAAATCTTTATTCATATACTTGGTCCAGGTTTCTCCATCCATCCATCTGTCCTTTAGTCTGATCTTTGACCTCTCACTGACCCTCTCACTCTTGTTTCAGGGAGAGAAAGGAGCAGTGGGTGGTAAAGGTGAAAGTGTAAGTTTTTGTTGTACGTGTGTGTGTGATTACATCTTGCATATGAATGTACATACATGCTCTTTTCTGATTATCTATCTGTGTGTATGGGTTTGTGAATCTTCAATAAAGGTTTGGGTGGGATGTGATTGTGTGTGAGAGATAATACTGATGTGAGATGTTATTGACAGGGTGACCCAGGAGAGGACGGGAAACAGGGCAGGCCTGGAACAGCAGTGGTAAGACAACCTGACCTGTACACACGAGAAGCCTGACTGACATACTGTACAAGAAGAGCTACAGACACACCTTGTGTGCTCCGGAGCTTTTACATTATGTTAAGGATGCTACGATTTACAGCTGTTTTGGCATGCAGATTAGCTTACGTTACACAAGTGTTAGCCTAATCATGTTCAGTAATAAGTCTCTCCTTGACATTGTTTGTGCCTCTCTCCTATCAGGATGTGCAGAAGGCCCTCTCTAACCTTGGCATCGAGGTAAGTGGATACTAAATCTCTGTAATATCAAATCAAATCAAATCAATTTTTATTTGCCACATGCACCGAATACAACAGCTGTAGACATTACCGTGAAATGCTTACTTACAGCCCTTAACCAACAATGCAATTATTTCTTAATAAAAAAAGTAAAATAAAACAACAACAACAAAAAAGTGTTGACAAAAAAAGAGCAGAAGTCAAATAAAATAACAGTAGGGAGGCTATATACAGGGGGGTACCGGTGCAGAGTCAATGTGCGGGGGCACCGGCTAGTTTGAGGTAATATGTACATGTGGGTAGAGTTAAAGTGACTATGCATGAATAATTAACAGCAGCAGCGTAAAAAGATGGGTGGTAGTGCAAATAGTCCGGGTAGCCATGATTACCTGTTCAGGAGCCGTGTGGCTTGGGGGTAGAAGCTGTTGAGAAGCCTTTTGGACCTAGACTTGGTGCTCCGGTACCGCTTCCCTAGCGATAGCAGAGAGAACAGTCTATGACTAGGGTGGCTGGAGTCTTTGACAATGTTGAGGGCCTTCCTCTGACACCGCCTGGTATAGAGGTCCTGGATTGGCAGGAAGCTTGGCCTCAGTAATGTACTGGGCCGTACGCACTACCCTCTGTAGTGCCTTGCGGTCGGAGGCCGAGCAGTTGCCAGGTGGTGATGCAACCAGTCAGGATGCTCTCGATGGTACAGTTGTAGAACTTTTTGAGGATCTGAGGACCCATGCCAAATCTTTTCAGTCTCCTGAGGGGGAATAGGCTTTGTCATGCCTCTTCACGACTGTTCTGGTGTGTTTGAACCAGGATAGTTTGTTGGTGATGTGGACACCAAGGAACTTGAAGCTCTCAACCTGTTCCACTACAGCCCCGTCAATGAGAATGGGGGCATGCTCAGTCCTCTTTTTTTTCCTGTAGTCCACAATCATCTCCTTTGTCTTGGTCACATTGAGGGAGAGGTTGTTATCCTGGCACCACACGTCCAGGTCTCTGACCTCCTCCCTATAGGCTGTCTCATCGTTGTCGGTGATCAGGCCTACCACTGTTGTGTCGTCGGCAAACTTAATGATGGTGTTGGAGTCGTGCCTGGCCATGCAGTCATGGGTGAACAGGGAGTACAGGAGGGGACTGAGCACGCACCCCTGAGGGGCCCCCGTGTTGAGGATCAGCGTGGCAGATGTGTTGTTACCTACCCTTACCACCTGGGGGCTGCCCGTCAGGAAGTCCAGGATCCAGTTGCAGAGGGAGGTGTTTAGTCCCAGGATCCTTAGATTAGTGATGAGCTTTGAGGGCACTATGGTGTTGAACGCTGAGCTGTAGTCAATGAATAGCATTCTCACGTAGGTGTTCCTCTTGTCCAGGTGGGATACGGCAGTGTGGAGTGCAATAGAGATTGCATCATCTGTGGATCTGTTGGGGCGGTATGCAAATTGGACTGGCTCTAGGGATAATGGTGTTGATGTGAGCCATGACCAGCCTTTCAAAGCACTTCATGGCTACAGACGTCAGTGCTACGGGTCGGTAGTCATTTAGGCAGGTTATCTTAGTGTCCTTGGGCACGGGGACTATGGTGGTCTGCTTGAAACATGTTGGTATTACAGACTCAGTCAGGGACATGTTGAAAATGTCGGTGAAGACACTTGCCAGTTAGTCAGCACATGCTCGGAGTACACGTCCTGGTAATCCGTCTGGCCCTGCGGCCTTAAAAGTCTTGCTCACATCGGCTACGGAGAGCGTGATCACATAGTCATCCGGAACAGCTGGTGCTCTCATGCATGCTTCAGGGTTGCTTGCCTCGAAGCGAGCATAGAAGTGGTTTAGCTCGTCTGGTAGGCTTGTGTCACTGGGCAGCTCGCGGCTGTGCTTCCCTTTGTAGTCTGTAATAGTTTTCAAGCCCTGCCACATCCGACGAGCGTCAGAGCCGGTGTAGTACGATTCAATCTTAGTCCTGTATTGACTCTTTGCCTGTTTGATGGTTCTTCGGAGGGCATAGCGGGATTTCTTATAAGTGTCCGGGTTAGAGTCCCGCTCCTTGAAAGCAGCAGCTCTACCCTTTAGCTCAGTGCAGATGTTGCCTGTAATCCATGGCTTCTGGTTGGGGTATGTACGTACGGTCACTGTGGGGACGACGTCATCGATGCACTTATTGATGAAGCCAGTGACTGATGTGGTGTACTCCTCAATGCTATCTGAAGAATCCGGAACATGTTCTGGTCCAACACCGGCTTTTTATGATGTGACATTAAGTCATAGCTGTGTTGTGTATATGAGTTTCCCTCACCTTGACCAGGCCTGGGTCGTATTCATTAGCTGTAGCAAAGTGTTTTAAAAATTGTTTGAACTGGTAACTAAAACAAGCAGTTCTCATTGGACAAGTCCAGGTAGCCCCCCCCCCCCCCCCCCCCTGTTTCAGTCCGTTTTCTTTCGTTTGATGCCTGATGAATACAACCTTGACATCTCTGTCCCTGTACTGCCTGTCTGTAGGTGCTGGACCTGAAGATGGTTGTGGAGAGGAAGGATGTGCTGGTCAAGCCTGTGGTGGAGAAGGCTGAGAAGGGCCAGAGAGGAGACAAGGGAGAGGCCGGACAGAGAGGACCAGCAGGGATAGATGTGAGTGAGTGGGGACCTTGATGGTGTCTATTTGGGGCCGTTGTGTTGAATAGAGATTATATCAAGACCCCCACACAAATGGTGTAGTAGAGTGAACTCAGACATGCTGTTAGTGTGTTTATTTGACCCATGGTGTAATGTATATCTCTCTGTTTACTCTCAAATTGATTCTATGTATGATTGCATGGATTTGGAATATAATTATAATTTCTAGGAGCGTATCTGTAATTAATGTCTTTACTAATTTGCATCTCAGGGTGCTCGCGGGATGGCTGGGGAGAGAGGTGTGAAGGGAGAGCAGGGGGAACAGGGGCCTGTAGGGGCCACAGGACCCATAGGGAGGGCCATCGGAGAGAAGGGCCCAGTGGGGCCCCCGGGACAGGCTGGAGAGCCAGGAAAACCTGGAATACCTGGAGTACCAGGGAGAGCCGGAGAACTGGGAGAGGCTGGACGACCTGGAGATAGGGTGAGGAAGAGAAGGATGGGAGGAAGGAGGGGTTCAAGGACAGGGAGAAGAGAGGAGGAATATGAAAGAAGAGGAAGATCATGTGAATAAGAGATGTTTCATGTGATTCCACTTTGACTTTCAGGGGGAGAGAGGAGAGAAAGGTGACAAAGGAGAGGCTGTGAGTATATTTGTCACCACAATAATCATCATTCAATGGACTGTATATATGGATGTTGACATGCGCATTACTGTTCTCATCTGCAGGGGGGAAACGGGCTAGTTGGATTAGTGGGCCCTCCTGGACCAAAGGTATGTCCCTGACCTGTACACACTACTACTTTCTAATGAGTCGTCATTACGGTAAACATATCATCGTTTATCCAGAGGCTACTGTTTGGAGTGTGTTTAGTGGGGGGGGTGCGTGTGTGTTTTAGGGTGCTTCTGCAGAAGTGGGTCAGGCTGGACTCCCCGGAGCAAGGGGGCTCCCTGGGGTCGCAGGACCGAAGGGAGAGCCTGGTGCTTCAGGACCACAGGGATCCAAAGGAGACGGGGTGAGAACACCTAACTCAATATATTACAGTACTTCATCAGGCAGGCTTCATGGTGTTGCTGTGTTTAACCTGCTGTGTCTGTGTGTGTGTGTGTGTTGTGTGTGTGTGTGTGTGTGTGTGTGTGTGTGTGTGTGTGTGTGTGTGTGTGTGTGTGTGTGTGTGTGTGTGTGTGTGACAGGGTATTGCAGGTCCCCGTGGAGATAAAGGCGACCAAGGTCCATCTGGAGAGCAGGGACGTAATGGCTTTCAGGTGAGTGTGTGCTGCCCTGACCAAAGTGTTGGCACTCCCTGATGCAGGTTGTTTTACCCCTCTTCATTGTGTTATTATGGTTCTGCAGAGGTTGTAAAGACATTGTTGTAATGGTAGCTAATAGTAATCAGGTTGTGTTTTGGTTATTTCAGGGGACAGCAGGAGAACCTGGCAAACCGGGACAGGATGGGAAGCCGGTGAGAAGAGGAGGGGTGGTGGTGTTGAGGGGGGGGGGTTAATTGATATCAACAATCATACAGGTATACTGTGGTACTTGTTCATTTATGATGCCTTTTAGATATTACTGCATGGATGCACTCATCTGTTTTCAAAGAGACCGCTTCCAGGAGACAGATCCCAGACATCAAAAGAAAACACTGTTTTTAGTTCTTCAATAGCTTGGTTGTACTATAGTTAAGTAGATAATGTTGTGTTTCAGACACAGTGATCATAAAATGTCCAACCATACAGTAGGTGAGTATGATAATCAATGATGTTGTGTAATCAGCCGGGACTAACTAGGGCCCAGAATGTCCCTGGTCTGGAAGAACTCAGGGACCTAGTAGTCATAACATGTGCAGGAGGAGGAGAAAGATGGGTAGAAGGAGAAAGCGAAGTGAAGGTGTGGAGGGGGAGAGAGAAGATAAGATAACTCACGCTTCTTGTTTCATCCCACAATGTTTCGGAGCAGGGTCCACAAGGGCCAGCTGGTCCTCAAGGCCGCTCAGTGAGTAACAGTAACCCAGCCAGGCAGCCTCCTTTTGGGCTGGTCCTGCATATGAAAGCCAGTGGATTGGCTGCGAGCGCTAGGCAGCCGATGGAGCTGATGGAGCTACTATATCTGTTTCCTTTGGGCTGAGGCTACGTAGAACCTTTAGACAGGAACCTTTTGCAGCTCTGCTTCTAACTACCACTCCCACTCCCACTTTCTTCTTACCTCCCCTTTCAATATATCTTATTTTGATCTATTTTACTCCCTTTCTGTCCCTCCCTCTCTTTTCAACACTTCAAACTATCCTACTCTTTCCCTTCTTCCTCTCCCCCTCCTTCTTCCTCTCCTCCCTCTCTGACTCTAGGGCCTGCCTGGGTTCCCTGGAGTGCTTGGCAGACCGGTAGGTTTTTTCTGTGCTGCTGGCAGGCATGCTTGTGACCAGTAGGAGGGGCTGGGGGGTAGGGTGCATGTTTCGGAAGGAGGTGTACAGGGACAACGCATTGTAGCAGATGGGGGGGCCATCTCCCAGGGGTCTGAGACTAGAGTTGGGCCTTGATAGGAGACTTGTGACATATTAATCTGGACCACTGGTTTCCAGAGCACCCCTGTCATATCCAAGATGTCTAGAATGTTTAATGTATTAAACACCACACATCGTTACCTGAGATAAGAAAAAATATGATATGACAAACAGTAGCATACACTAGCAAATATCAAATGGACATAATAGGGTATATAGTGAATACTGAAAAATAATACATGTTCGTCAGATATTTAACAGATGTATTTTGCATTTGAGAGGCTTGAGTCTGCTGGCTTTCTGTGCATGTGGCTTCACCTGCTCTGTTGTCTGCTTCTTAGCTCTCCCAAAGCACTGTTTGCACATTGTATACCATGTGTGTGTCTTTGTGTGTTGTGCATGAATGCAGTTGTGTATTGTGTCTATGCAGTTTTGGGTTGTGTATTGCGTCTATGCAGTTGTGGGTTGTGTGTGTGTGTATGCAGTTGTGTATTTGTTTGTGTGTGTAAAAATGGTTGGGGGGATGTTCATGTATGTACTGTGTGTACGCACTTCTCTATGTGTGTATGTGTCTTTGTCTCTGTACATAGCATACATGTACAATTTGCTGTGTGTTTGTGTGTTGTAACTTGTATCATGCTTGTGTCATTCTGTGTGTGTGCTATGTCTTGGTCATGTGAATCCAGCATGTTCTTATCTCGTTTGCAGGGAAACCCTGGAGAACCTGGAATTAGAGGGTCAACTGTAAGTATGATACTCTCCTCTAACACACGCGCACACACACAGCGCTGTAAGTATACTGATGCTATCGGTTTGTAATTGTAGGGTCCGATCGGTACCAACGGGCCTCCAGGTCCACCTGGGGTAAAGGTGAGAACATCTTCCATGTAATTTCAATGTAAATGTACAATAAAGTATATCGTATCGTGTCTTCCATAATGAATAGCTACCTATTTATTCTCTGTGCCAGCTCTGATGCATTGATTAGTGTAGATATGGCTTAGGCTATAGTAGCTTAGTATTACGACACTGGAATGATATGATCATTGTAAGTGTATACCTTTTTCTTCTGAGAGTGTCTTTTTATCTCTGACAGGGTAATCAAGGAGTGCCTGGGGTTGGCGTTCAGGTGACACTTATTTTATGTGTTATATTGTGTATTTTGTCTTATATGGATTCTATATATTCCTGTTGTTTATTGCCTCAGTGTTTAGGCAACTACTCACCCATCCACAGTCAAAGTCACAGAGCTTTATAATAATCTATTTGAAATGAATCTCCTGTTCCACAGGGACTGTCTGGTCCCCAAGGCAGCATGGGACTGCCGGGACCTGGAGGGACTCCTGGAGCTGTGGTACGTGAAAACATCAGTCATCTATAAACCAACTCTCATACTGGAGATTTTAGCAGGCTAAACTGCTGCTCTTGTATATTCCCATTGGACTGGGGATTCCTCGTATGCTCACACTTTCCATTTAGGCCTACTGTAATTCAACAGGCCATTGACACAGTAATGTGTGTTTAATATTATATGATGTATCGTAATGATACTCTCTCTTCGCAGGGTCCATCAGGACCTCCAGGTCTACCAGGGCAGACGGTGAGTACAGCAGCTCCGTGGGACTCACAGCTCACATACTGTAGAGCCAACACACTCACACACACACACCTCCATCACCACCATAGTTAACACACACCAAGCAATTCACACACATCAGTTTTGGTGGTGACATGCAGTGTGTCTCTCTCCATAGGGCGAGGGGGGCAAGCCAGGGGTCCCAGGAAGAGACGGAATACCTGGAAAAGAGGGAACACCAGGGTTGCCAGGCAAACAGGTGTGTACTGTATGGTATCTGACTTTCTACATCCTACTGTGTTTATAGTATGTCTTATGATGGCATCCGCTTCAGTGTGGATTTGTCTTTGATAATGATTTTCAGACTGCTGCTTTTGTTCATTATCAAACTTTCTTCCCTCCTGCAGGGATTCGCTGGACCAATGGGCTCCACAGGGTTGAAAGGGGAGCAGGGGGACAGTGGCCCCCCAGGAAAGGTGAGTGAGAGGGGATCAGGGAGGTGATGTGAGGTTGGATTGAGCTCTCCTTAAGGCTAATTCAGAGTCCACAGCCGCAGAGTCGCAATAGTCCATTGTGAGACCACCGTCCACGGGGGATGCACAGCCCGACCACGCACCTCTCAACATTTCTAACCAACGTGGCTCCGCGGACGCAGTTCCTATTCATTTCAATGTGGTGATGGTTGGAGAAATTGCTTGAGCTGTGCTGAGAAATCAAAAACTATGAAAGCCAATGGTCCAATGTTCTAGAACACTGCTGTGCGGACCCGTACACATTTTGGACTCTGATAAGTGCTTTATTCAGAAGCTCCAGCTGCACATTTATCCCTCTTTTCTTTACTGTAAATGGCCATGACTCACATCCTCTTTATACAACGTCTCTCCAACTGAAATAAGAGGTAATCACTGGCATGAATAGGAGGGCAGAGACACATGTAAACATACGCAAACAATGACACACCAATGCTCAAGCATACTGTATGTGCACGTGTAAAGGATGTCACGCTGCTTGCTTAGCAAGTACCACTTTCTCCTGATTCGGCTCTAACCAGGGCTCAAATCCAGGACCTCTACCTTGCTAGCACACGTGACCTCCCCCTCAAGTGTCTTACCAGTCAGTGCCATGCGAAAAGCTAGCAATTCGGCTGCGCAAGTGGCGATACTTCAGGCTGAGGAGTAAGTTTCACACATCCCCATGTGCTACACATGCATGAATGCACACACACACACACACACACGCAGCATATGTTTTAGTATCCTTGTTGAGACCTAAAATGTATTTCCATTCAAATCCTATTTTCCCTAACCCTAACCCTTATCCTAACCTTAACCCTAAACCTAACCCTAACTCCTAAACCTGACCCATAACCCTAATTGTAACCCTAAACCTAACCCCTAAGCCTAAAATAGCCTTTGTCCTCATGGGGACCTGGGAAATGTCCTCACGAGGGAGAATTTTCCTTGTTTTACAATCCTTGCAGGGACTTTTGGGGATTTCCGGTACCCATGAGGATAGTAATACAAGCCCGCACACACGCATGCACACACGCACACACATTCACATCCTTCACATCATTCACCGGAAGCTTTAGCAGGATGTACTGCGGTTCAGGAGAAATAAGAGCTTTTGAAAGGACGAGATGTACTGTAGTTATAGACAGCACATCTGTTATTCTTTTCCTCTCTAGTTAGTGTGAAAAACCAAATGACACTCCCGTTCATGGTCTAATGCTCTAATGAAGGTCAAAAGGCCAAAACAGTAGCATTATAAAAATGTTATATTTTACAAACATAGTGGGTGGGAGTTTTCTCAAGTTTTTACTATTGCTGTCCATCTTCAGTGTATTTGCAAACAACCTAATCCAGATGTGTGAGTTTCACGTCATGTTCTCCCTCCCTCCATCCCCTTTACAGGCTGTAGCAGGACCCGATGGTGTGAAAGGAGCACAGGTGAGTGGTTGTCAGGTTTACTCTTCCAGTCGTGGTAACATCCGGTTAGTGGTGACTACAACCTCGCCCTGTTGAACCAGTTTATGGAGGCACAATAGATACAACTCAGAACCAGTGAATCACCATACTGAATCATACTGAATCATACTGAATCATAGGCCAACCAACAGACATATTGTAGACGGCTTTGACTAGAGCAGAATGGCATGGGGTGGTCTAGCAGTTAGGGCCACTGTGCACAATCACATGTGCCGTGTTGGCGTGAGTTCAAATCCGGCCCACTGTCTCTCTCATCTTTCCTGTCTCCCTCTAAGAAAGAGAATACAGCAGAATGGCAATCCTAAGGTGAGGAACTAGGTGCAATAGAATAGGATGGAACAGAGTTTAATGTAATGGGAGTATGTTGGTTGTGATTGGTTCAGGGACCTCCTGGTGTGACCTTACCTGGGACAGTGGGAGAGAGAGGGCTGCCAGGGCTACGGGTGAGTCTGCTTGGTTGAACCAATGATTTACATATTTCAGCTATTATTCAGGCAATTACTATTCAGATTACCAAACATGAGCAAGAATGTGTTTAGTGATTTCTTGATGACCACGTGTTTCTAAAATGGCATTTTTCTAAAATCGTTGTCCTTTAGGGTGAGAGGGGTGACAAGGGTCCTGCAGGCATCAAAGGGGACAGGGTGAGTAATGTCACTTAAAACAACATTAGTCGACATTCACAGATACTACAGTATGACAGTGATGAGGGAAATGATTGTGTGTGTGTCTGTTTCTGTGTCTTGTTGAAATAGGGTGCTGCTGGTGAAAATGGGGAGCCTGGAGAAGATGTGAGTCACCTTTTGACATTTTGTCTAACAGATTCACGTCTAACAGATGTCTGTCTTACTTACTTCTCCATCCACTTTGTCTCTTCTAGGGGGGCAGAGGACCAGCAGGGCCTAAAGGAGACAAGGTAATACACATCACCAGCTGATTCCCTGTGTTTGTGTTTCCCTGGCTGCTAACCATGTGACAGTACTAACAGGATTTGTGTTGCAGGGAGAGAGAGGCATCGGACTGGCAGGGCCTCCTGGTCAGCTGGGACCTCAAGGGTTAAAGGTTACTATCATGGACTTGACAATACTTCTGAATGTTCTCATAAACATATATCACATATGTAGCTATGTTCATATTAACATATACAGACTTCTCAGTTTCTGCTCTTCCACAGTGAATGTGAACCCCTGTGTGTTTGTGTTTTAGGGGGACACAGGACACCCGGGCCCAGCAGGTCCTCCAGGAGCCCGTGGCGTAGCAGGGACCCCTGGTCTGGCTGGCCTGAGAGGAGAGAACGGAACCCCAGGACCCCCAGGACCTCTAGGACCCAGGGTGAGAGGGCCTATATCGCCATGGTAGTTGGGTGACTGGTCTTGTCTTGTTAGCCCTGCTCTGTGTTGTATGTTTATGTTGTATGTTGTCTCATCTCCAGGGTCTCCAAGGCTTTCCTGGTCAGACAGGGACCCCTGGAGCTCCTGGGCCCCCTGGACCCTCCGGCCTAGCTGTAAGTAGCCTTTACATTGATGACTTAATGAAGTGGGTGCGAGCGAGAGAGACAAAGAAAGAAATAATATAATATATTTTCTTATAAGTAGCCTAGCGGTTAGAGCATTGGGCCAGTAACCGCAAGGTTGCTAGTTTGAATCTCTGAGCCGGCTAGGTGAAATCTGTCGATCTGCCCCTGAGCAAGGCACTTAACCCTAATTGCTCCAGGGTTGCTTTCAATAATGGCTGATCCCTGGTCGTGACCCCACTCGCTGAGGGTGTCTCAGGGGGAGTGGGATATGCAAAAAACACATTTCCATTTCACACCAGTACAAGTTAAACACGTGTGAAACAGGACAAATGTAAGCACCCCTGTTTCACCTTTGATTTAGCAGATGATGTTATCCAAAGCAACTTATAGTCATGCATGCATTCACTTTTTATGTATAGGTGGCCCAGGGAATCGAACCCACTATGAGCCACGCTCTTCCAACTGAGCTACAGAGGACCAAGGAGAGAGAGAGACTTTGTGTGTTTGCGTTTGCGTTTGTGTTATCTGTTAGTGTTCATTATCAATATTTCTGTTTTTCCTTACCAGGGTACACCGGGAACTGCTGGAGGCAAAGGGGACAAGGTGAGTTAAGAAAGAGAAAACACGTCTTCCAAACGGTATAATATCTTATCAAATAGGATGTGGTTACTCATAAATCTTCCTCTTTAGGGAGCGATTGGAGCAGGAGTACCTGGATTGAGAGGCGAGAGAGGAGACCCAGGACCCAGGGTAAAACCACATCACCATTTGAGTTGGAATTGTATCTATATTTGACTGTTGTATTGTAGAGTTGTGTGTGTGTGTGTGTGTTGGGGGATTTACAGATTTGTGTGTCTGATGTTTGCAGGGGGAGGAGGGTCGAGCTGGTCTAGACGGGGAGAGAGGACTAGTGGTAAATCTCTGTATTTTTCTCTTCTCGTTCATCACTTATTCATCACTGTCTGTCTCTCCTGTATCTCTACGCCTGTCCATCTTATCACTATCTTTGTAGTGCTTCTGTCACAGTTTACAATTTATCATTAGCAATTTTGAGTCTACCACCTCTGTCTAGTGCTTGATAATTGCCTCACATAGTTCTATAGTGTTTGTTTATTACTAGAGGTCATTGATTGGCCAAACCCTCAATTTTGATCCAACTTAATAGAGTGAGAGAGAAAATGAGAGAAGGGGGAAGGGAAGGCTGAAGTGAACGTAGATAGAGCTCAAAAGAAATAAAAGCTCATCAAACAAAAGTTTGTGTGGCTTGAGCAGTGTACTTCAGAAAATAGAAATGACTCAAACGAATGGAAAAGTTCTGAAAGCAAAAGACGTCGTCATCTTCATCAGCATGATGCGTAAACCTTTAAATTGTTTCCATCTCCATCCCTACTATACCTTTATCCATTATTGTCAAACCCATTATCCCTCCATACATAGAACATACATATCCTGTTTCTCTGAGTGCAGTAGATTGCTCCTTACAGTGTGTTCTACCCTCCACTTTGATCTAATGATAGGCCTCTGTACTACCATAGCTCCTTTAAAAGCTGCCAGCCAGCCCCAGGTCCTCTGTCGCTATCTGTACATTAGTGTTACTGAGAGTAGCGCTGTTCTCCAAGGCAAGGGCCACTAAACCTCTTCACCTTAGCACTCATCAAGACCATACTCAGCCTCTCTCACATTAGTTGCCTGGTAACTTCTAGAAGGGGGCTGGGTACTGTAGAGTGCCCATGGCACTCCACTTTAAACTCAGATGAGACACACACACAGACAGGAACTCACCTATTGCGGTACACGCATTTCTCCTACAGAAGAGTGCTAGTTATGGTGCGTATAGAGAGCTATTTGTTGTAGTTTTGGACGATTTCTGGTGAGGATGTGCATGTGGGAGTATAATTATTTTTTTCTTGTGTGTGTTCTGTTTGATTAAATGTATTCCTCTGTGTGTGTGTGTGTGTGTGTGTGTGTGTGTGTGTGTGTGTGTGTGTGTACCAGGGCTTTCCAGGTGGCAAAGGAGGCAGGGGAGAGAAGGTGACTATTGTTCTCCACAGCTGTATTTTCCATCATTCTCTCTCTCTTGCTCTCTCTCTCTCTCTGTCCCCTGAGCATTCTGCTCATGTAAAATAATCAATTAAATGAACATGCCTGACTAGTGAGTCCTACTCTCAATATATTTCAGGGTGAATTGGGGCCGCAAGGTGACAAAGGAGAAAAGGTATGAATTATATTGTATGAGTAGTAATATTGTGTGTGTGTACGTGGTAGAATAATACAGAGAAGTGTAGAAAAATAGCAAAAGGGGAGACAATGAAAATAAAACCGAGAAAATATAAAAGTTGTGAAAATATTTTCTTTAACCTAGCTATCTTACAATTATGTTGTTCCCTTGCAGGGCGATACTCTCCTGGTGGGAGGACCTACAGGAGAGAAAGGCAACAAAGGAGAGACGGTGAGTGACCCTCTCAACCCTCAAAACCTCACAGCACTGATTATTGACTAATCAAATAAAACAATTGGTCACAAAAATACCTCAGAGCAGCAAGTATTGACTATGCCACTGCTAATCTGTGTGTGTGTGTGTGTGTGTGTGTGTGTGTGTGTGTGTGTGTGTGTGTGTGTGTGTGTGTGTGTGTGTGTGTAGTGGTCATTTACAACTGTTGTTCTCTTCTTTATCAGGGTGACCGAGGGCCAAAAGGGGGGCAGGGGGAGAAAGGCTTGAAAGGCAATGACGGCCCAGCTGGGGAGCAGGTGAGGTTGGGCTTGACAATGACAACAATTAATGGAGTTGGCAAGAGCACAAACAGCTCTGGGAGCAGGCTATTAATAACAGGAGTATAACTGTATGTGTGTCTCCACAGGGTCTGAGAGGTGAGCCAGGAGACAGGGGCTCTACAGGGTTCCAGGGGGCCAGAGGTCCAGGAGGACAGAAGGTGACTACATCACCTGACCTTTATCAATGCTTTCATCATCACTGCTGTGTCATATATGTCAGAACCAATATCATCGATAGTCAATCAATATCAGAATGTCCTTGGGTGTATAATGGTTGCATTGCACACAGTTTTCCCACCCGTCGTGTGAGAATGGATCATCACACAACAATATATCCTGTGAAAAGGAACACAGTATTGCTCAGACTGGATGCTGTAGGTGACTGTTGTACAGATGCAGTGTTTACATTTACATTTTAGTCATTTAGCAGACGCTCTTATCCAGAGCGACTTACAGTTAGTGAATACATTTTGTATTTTATTTTTATACTGGCCCCCCGTGGGAATCAAACCCACAACCCTGGCGTTGCAAACGCCATGCTCTATCAACTGAGCTACATCCCTGCCGGCCATTCCCTCCCCTACCCTGGACGACGCTGGGCCAATTGTGCGCCGCCCATGAATCTCCCGGTCGCGGCCGGCTGCGACAGAGCCTGGATTCGAACCAGGATCTCTAGTGGCACAGTTAGCACTGCGATGCAGTGCCTTAGACCACTGCGCCACTCAGGAGTGTATAAATATAAATAGTATAAATTCTCTGCGCCACTCAGTGTTCTAATGGGTTTGTCTTTGTGTCTGTAGGGAGAGGCAGGCCAGCCTGGTGTACCTGGAGAATCTGTGAGTCTCCCATTTAACCTTCAGTTATGAAAACAATATATACTTTTTCTTGACCACATGAACTGACGTGAAAAACTCTGGGCCCTAATTATAGCCTATAACTAGGATCTAGAGTGCTTCCTGGTCAGGTCACATGGTCAGGAAAAACTTCAGGCCCTATGACTAACTCCCCATTCACTCCCCTATTGATCGATAAAAGACTGGTTGATTGTGTTTTTCTCCCAGGGTACACCAGGAAAAGATGGAATGCCAGGCTTTAGAGGAGAGAAGGGAGACGTGGGAATAACTGGAATGCGTGGAATTAAGGTTTGTACGCCTGTGTGTGTGCAGCGTGATGCGTCTGTTTGTGTATGCGTCTGATGCTTGTGTCTGTCATTGTATTTGAACTGTCTTTGAGTTCATCCCCACTTGAAGAAGTTTGGTGCCAACCTTGATACGTCCTCTAAGCTCCAGTGCCAGCCTTCCAGATGATGCCACCAGTCATAACTCTTCAATGGCTCCAAATTGACATCACGTAGCGGAGGATTAGTATAAATTCAGCTGGAAATAGCCCAGGATAGAGTATGCTTTCATCCTCATATGGTCTATAAATACCTTTAATGACGGTTGAAAGTATAATTTGTGTGTTTATGTGGCATTCTGCCAGACTAATAGGCTATCAGAACCCCCTAACCTTCCTACTGTATACTGTGTGAATCACTGTCCTCTTCTAAAGTAAAGACAAAGTCTGTCTGAGGGACACTTTCAGATGTGTTCAGTGTTTTCTTCACATGACCTTGCCACACTAACGACAGTACAATCACAGCATGATAATCTGGGTTTAGTAATGACTAATGCAGAGGGCACAATATCAGCCAGCTCAGTCTCACCATGCTATCAGAACCCCTTCAACTTCCCCATATCTGTCACTAGCAATTATGCTCAACAAATTACTCATCCTTTACAGTGCATTCAGAAAGTATTCAGACCCCTTGACTTTTTCCACATTTTGTTATGTTACAGCCTTTTTCTAAAATTGATTAAATAGTTTTTTCCCCCCTCATCAATCTACACACAATACCTCATACTGACAAAGCAAAAACAAGTTTTTATACATTTTAGCAAATTTGAAAACTGAAATAACATATTTACATAAGTATTCAGACCCTTTACTCTGAACTTTGTTGAAGAACCTTTGGCAGCGATTACAGCCTCAAGTCTTCTTGGGTATGACGCTACAAGCTTGGCACACCTGTATTTGGGGAGTTTCTCCCATTCTTCTCTGCAGATCCTCTCAAGCTCTGTCAGGTTGGATGGGCAGCGTTGCTGCACAGCTATTTTCAGGTCTCTCCAGAGATGTTCGATCGGGTTCAAGTCCGGGCTCTTCCTGGGCCAATCAAGGACATTCAGAGACTTGTCCCGAAGCCACTCCTACGTTGTCTTGGCTGTGTGGTTAAGGTTGTTGTCCTGTTGGAAGGTGAACCTTCGCCCCAGTCTGAGGTCCTGAGCGCTCTGGAGCAGGTTTTCATTAAGGATCTCTCTGTACTTTGCTCTGTTCATCTTTCCCTCGATCCTGACTAGTCTCCCAGTCCCTGCCGCTGAAAAACATCCCCACAGCATGATGCTGCCACCACCATGCTTCACCGTAGGGATGGTGCCAAGTTTCCTCCAGACGTGATGCTTGGCATTCAGGCCAAAGAGTTCAATCTTGGTTTCATCAGACCAGAGAATCTTTTTTCTCATGGTCTGAGAGTCCTTTAGGTGCCTTTAGGCAAACTCCAAGCGGGCTGTCATGTGCCTTTTACTGTGGAGTGGCTTCCATCTGGCCACTCTACCATAAAGGCCTGATTGGTGGAGTGCTGCAGAGATGGTTGTCCTTCTGGAAGGTTCTCCCATCTCCACAGAGGAACTGGAGCTCTGTCAGAGTGACCAGCAGGTTCTTGGTCACCTCCCTTACCAAGGCCCTTCTCCCCCGATTGCTCAGTTTGGCCGGGCGGCCAGCTCTAGGAAGAGTCTTGGTGGTTACAAACTTCCTCCATTTAAGAATGATGTTGGCCACTGTGTTCTTGGGGACCTTCAATGCTGCATACATTTTTTGGTACTCTTCCCCAGATCTGTGCCTCGACACCATCATGTCTTAGAGCTCTATGGACAATACCTTCAACCTCATGGCTTGGTTTTTGCTCTGACATGCACTGTCAACTCTGGGACCATATATAGACAGGTGTGTGCCTTTCCAAATCATGTCCAATCAATTGAATTTACCACAGGTGGACTCCAATCAAGTTGTAGAAACATCTCAAGGATGATCAATCAAAAAACAGGATGCACCTGAGCTCAATTTCGAGTCTCATAGCAAAGGGTCTGAATACTTACGTAAATAAGGTATTTCTGTTTTTTATTTTTTATACATTTGCAAAAATCTATAAAAAAAAATTTTGTTTTGTCATTATGGGGTATTGTGTGTAGATTGATGAGGAAAAACATGTATTTAATCCTTAGAATAAGGCTGTAACGTAACAAAATGTCAAGGGGTCTGAATATTTTCTGAATGCACTGTAAGTATTTTAAGACTGGGACAGTGATCTATTCATGGTCAAACATAGTCCAACTCAGTTCTGCTGGTTTCTGTGACTGTAGGAGTCACTTCTTGTTCAAGCCCATGCTGACCTTCACACAACACACACCGGTTCTGACCAGCTGGTTGGTATTGGCAACTGTTGAAGTGAGTGACAGTTGTTGATGAGTCACCTTGTGAATGAGGGGTTGTGTTCGTTAGGCTGGGTTTGACTGGCAGCTGAAAGGACTGTCAGTCTATGTATAAGCTCTCTCTCTGTCTGAATTGGCAGTTTGGAGTAGTTTGTCCCACTGTGACTGACAGGGCCCCTCATCTGCCTCTCTAACTGACTAACTAACTGATCGTTTCCAGGGCGACCGAGGATCAAAGGGGGCGTGTGGATCGGACGGACCAAAAGGAGAAAAGGTACAGACAGACAGACAGAGACGACAGAGAGAGATAGAGGAGGAGAGAGGAGAAGAGAGATAGAGAGAGAGAAATAGAAGCGATAAGAGAAGAGAGAGATAGGGGAGAGAGAGAGAGTTCTTGATCGAGACGAGTCTCTGAGATAAGCTTATCATCATCAACATGCTACGCATGCCGCTCTCTCCGGGTTTCATTTGATCAATTATGATTACCCTGCTCTCTTACTGGAGTGCTGCTGATCTTTAAATTCAGTGTTATAGCCCACTACTACGACCTCTCTCCCAAGTTTTTTAAAATTCACATTTTAAGGGAGAATAGTCATTTAATAATCTCATATCCTGAGGGACCCATGTTGATGGTGTTTGATAATTAAATCATGCCTGTAATAGGGATCCTAAGGGGGAATAAGAAAGTGGAAGAGAGGGAATAGGGAGAGGTTTGATGGGAGGCATGGAGGAAGGAAATTTTGGGGGTTGAAGGGGAAGGGGGGTTTTGGGGGGAGGGAGGGGGGGTGGAAGAGGTGGGGGTTTGAGGGGGGAGGGGGAGAGAAGAGGAGGGAGGAAGGAGAGGAGGAGAAGTTCGCTTTTTCCGGGGGGGGGGGGGGGGGGGGGGGGGGGGGGGGGGGGGGGGGGGGGGGGGAAAAAAAAGGGGGGGGGGGAAGGGGGGGGGGGGGGGGGGGGGAAAAAAAAAGGGGGGGGGGGGGGGGGGGGGGGGGGGGGGAAAGAAAGGGGGGGGGGGGGGGGGGAAAAGGGGATTTAAAACTGAAAAAATGCGGGAGTTTTTTTAAAAGTTTGAAAAGGAGTTTTGGGAAGAGGGGGTTAAAAGGGGGTTAGGGCAACCCCCAAGACAAAAAGATGGTTGGGAGGGGTCACCGTGCGAGGACTACAACACAACGTTTACCAGTCTCGGAGAGGAAGAGAATGGAGAATTGTTGATGAGGCGTAAGAGGGGTTGAAGTTAAAGGCTGGGTTGACTGGGAGAAAGGACTGTAGGAGGAGAGGGGGGGAGGAAAGGTTATCCTGGGGGGCCTTAATTGCTGTTAGTTTATTTAATCAACTTTATTTATCCCTGAGGGGCCTTTATGGGAGTTGCATGGTGAGTTTTATAATTAAAGTGTTTCATAGCCACTGTAACTATGACCTCTCTCCCTTAAGGTGTTAATAATGAAATTGTATAAGATTAACAGTAGGGGAAAAAGGTGTGGATGCACCATGGTGTGTCTTTCTAATGACCTGGCTATAGTGGACGTGGGCTACATACAGAAGGGAATACTATTGGACTTTTTGATGGTGTAGAATGTTTTTACCCTCTCTTTCTCTTTCTGTAATCAGGGAGATTCAGGGATCCATGGGCGGTCAGGGATGCCTGGAAGGAAAGGTGAGCAGGTAAGAATCATCCCATGAATTACACGTTTAGAGGGCTCTGAACAGTACACCATTGAGGCTGATATCTGGAATTTAGTATTAAAACTGTATTATCAGCCTTATCAGCCAAGTGTGGACATGTTACCAGGTGTTGTTGTATCTGTGTTTCAGGGAGAATTGGGTTCTCCGGGGGCCACTGGAACCGCAGGCAAGGAGGGACTGATCGGACCCAAGGTATTAGTCTATGTATTGTTTGTTTGTTGTTTGTTTGTTTGTTATATATATATATATATATATATATATATATATATATATATATATATATATATATATATATATATATATATATATATATATATATATATACACACTACCGGTCAAAGGTTTTAGAACACCTACTCATTCAAGGGTTTTTCTTTATTTTTAATATTTTCTACATTGTAGAATAATAGTGAAGACATCTAAACTGAAATAACGCATGGAATCATGTAGTAACCAAAAAAGTGTTAAACAAATCAAAATAAATGTTATATTTGAGATTCTTCAAATAGCCACCCTTTGCCTTGATGACAGCTTTGCACACTTGGCATTCTCTCAGCCAGCTTCACCTGGAATGCTTTTCCAACAGTCTTGAAGGAGTTCCCACATATGCTGAGCACTTGTTGGCTACTTTTCCTTCACTCTGCGGTCCGACTCATCCCAAACCATCTCAATTTGGTTGAGGTCGGTGGATTGTGGAGGCCAGGTCATCTGATGCAGCACTCCATCACTCTCCTTCTTGGTAAAATAGCCCTTAAACAGCCTGGAGGTGTGTTCGGTCATTGTCCTGTTGAAAAACAAATGATAGTCCCACTAAGCCCAAACCAGATGGGATGGCGTATCACTGCAGAATGCTGTGGTAGCCATGCTGGTTAAGTGTGCCTTGAATTCTAAATAAATCACAGACAGTGTCACCAGCAAAGCACCCCCACACCATAACACCTCCTCCTCCATGCTTTACGGTGGGAACTACACATGCGGAGATCATCCGTTCA